GAGTTTCAAAAGACAAAAGTCATATCAAATCAAAAATGGGAAGTTTAGATTGCCAAGCGGTACATCCAGGAGTCCTTCTCTATAACCTAGGATATCACATATGAGTTAAAACTGGCATCATAACACTATTTTGATAATTGACACCATTATATGAGTGTTTCTTTAGCTTATTTTCATGTAACACAAGGATATTTATTACAATGTTATACCTTTCATAAATCATTTTGCTTTATTTAATGATCTAATATATCTTCAGTTGTTAAATATCTTTGAAATTTGTGGGCTTCTTTATTTACAGTATAACCTGTATATAAAGTCCAATTAAATGAGATGGTAGAAGTGGTCTTATTCCTTGGTTCTTTTACATGCCCAGTGTATAGCACTGATACATGCAAGGATTACCTGGGTTTCGTACCAGTAAACCTCTAGTTAGGTGGGAAACACTGAAAGTGTTTCTGAAAAATCTGAAAAGATGGTAGAAGTGATCTTTATTGAAAGTGGTCTCTGTGCAAATAAAAAGGAAGTGATGCTCCATAAATGATAGAGTGGGATGTACAATTTCCAGCCATTATTGGCAGGTGTTTCTAGCATTGTCTTTTGTCAGAGGTGGTCTTTATAACCAGGTTTAATTGTATCATTTATCTTATGATTATCTAACACATCACAACAGAACAATTGACCACTTGTAGTTCACACACATCACATGTGTTTTCTGGTGCTGTTTTCATAACAAACGAAATCATTTGATTGATTACCCCACTAAACTTTCCTCCACTTGAAGAGTCTGTTAAGAAATCTTCAGATTAGGAGGTAAAAAAGGTGGCAGTTGGCTGCTTTTCGATCTCCAATATGCCAATTCTTCATGTCGATGCCTCTCCCTCTCTAGAAAGTAGATTTAGAAGCTTAACTTTTTAATATGATATGGAATTTGGATTATTTGCAAAGATACAGATTTTTGGCTTAGATTTTCATTGTTTCAAGGTTTTTGACTTTCGAAAATTTGGATATTTTGAGTAATTATATGTATTGTTGCAGTATTTAATTGCTCAGACGCAGACCGTTTTTTTTTCTGCACAGACAAAAATGCTGTAGCTATGAGCTTACTTGAAAAGCCTTTTATTTTGTTTTGTTTTCGTTAATTACAGCATTCATGAAAGCATTCTCCGTTATTGTTATGGTAATTGCATCGTTATTGTTATGGTAATTGCATCGCAAATTGCACATGTACAAAGAGGAAATAGTTTTCGTAATACCAGTATTAGTGTTTTGTCCTTGGACCTTTATTGAAAGTGCATTATGCATTTGCTGCTAGGGAAGTGATTATTTTTCGAAGTTTGTAATAGCAGTGTAAACATTTTGGCTCAGAAAAAATGGATTTGAATATAATAATGAACCATATAAAGGATGACAGGTATGTGTAATCAATAAGTAATATGATGATACTACTTTGGCCTTAACAACTAATTTTAGACTATTCTTTTACATTTCAGCATTGGAATGTAATTTATATTAAAAAAAAAAAGGTCAAACAACAACAAATACATTTGTTATTATGCTAAAATTGTATTAGATGAGAAGTATTTTTATATAGTCTTGTTGGATGGGGTTAGTTGATGTTCTTGCACATGCTGCCATCTATTCTGTCTTGCCAGGTTTACAAATGTGCTGGCCAGCTTTAGGTTTAATTTAATACGCATTATATCTATAAATATAATTATATATTTTACTTATTTGGTTGGGTAAAAAGGGAATTTAGAGAGAAATGTTTCAAATTGATAGACAACAATGTTAAGGCTCAGGATTTGATAAATGTTTAACTTTATGCACTGCCCACTTAGCTCAATTATCAGAGAGCATCCAATAAGTAAATACTGTGGGGGTGGCTGGTTTGATTCTCTGGCAAGGGGTAATTTCTTCTTGAGTAGTTGCACTATTGCAGAGAAATTCGTAATTACCGGTTACATATTGAGGAAAGCCTGTTAGGTGGATCGACTGCTACCACCAAGATATGACCAAAAAAAATATAAAAAAATGTTAAAATCGTTAAAAAAACAGGAAAAAAACAAAATATATAGCAGACATTTTTAGAATTTTTTCCCAAGAACAAATTAAAAAAGATAAAGAAAAGTCCATCTTATATTTCTTGATATGCTGTAAGGTGAAAGGGATATTCAAATTAATTCAGTCGCTCTATTTAAGAGGAAAATACGACTTTCAAATTTCAAATATATACAAAAAGCTGTAGTATCATCCTTGACAAGCTCTAAATTTTTGGCAGGTTTATAGTCTATGGAAGTTATACTTTTTGTTAAAGGAATGTTTTGCTAACAGCATGGAAGAAGGTATAAGGTTTTATAAAATGAGCAGTTTTATGGACAGGCCTTATTGTAGAGGGCGTGCTCTATTGTCACTGTCATAGTATTAATTTTAATAGGAGTTAACCAGTTATTGCATGAAGGTGATCATGGATAAAGAACCTTAAAATAAATCAAAACAAATCCTGACGGTCATTTATCATTTTTAAATGGCATACAATATCCCCTGAGAGTGTCTTATTTTTCAATTAACAATGCAATATCATGAAACTATATTCAGATATGGTATACCAAACTCAGTTATTTCCCTATTCAACCTATTCTTAATTTTAGTTAATACAGCCCACCAATGAACCGAAAATATATCCTTACCAATTTGCATTACAAATATCTAATTTTGTCCCATTATGTATTCGAATACCAGAGTCACATCCAAAAGACAAATATTCAAACAAGATGAATCATCCCACCTCCTACAGTATCCCTGTTTCTTCATTTTTTCCCCCATTTTAAAATGTGACTTTTTGTGGAGATGTGAACGTTAATTTATCATTTTGGAGAAAGGAATTTCAAATATTGTAAGTGATCTTAACTTTTTAAGAATGTTCGGTTATCTTTTTTGCAGTTCAGAATGGAAGTTTGTAATTAAATGTAAAAAGTTTTTGGTTAATTGTCATTAATAAAAACATCAGCAATTATGCAACAGTTTCGTGTTTAAACATTAATTGTGCTGAATTCAATTTTGAGTCTGATTTGAATTCAGAAATGGTCTGTCCATTGACAAGTTTTACAAATTTTAACATACAGCTGTACTGGCTGACCAAATTATAATTAGTACCATATATAGGCCTCTTGTAATTGCCAATTGTGTTCATGCAAGGTAATGAATGGTTCATGATTGGTTCAGACAATGCCAGTATGAAAAGTGTGAATCCCTCCAATTTAGATAATTCAGCAGGATTCTTTTAAAATGAATTGGTCTACAATGAAAGGTCTTTAATACATTAAATAGTTACATTGATAGAATTTAGTATTACACATCACAAGAAACCAGAAAGAATGATACATTGAAGTTGTTGGCAAGTGTGAGATACATGATCCAAATTATTACATAGCAAATAATAAATTGTTCAATCATTCGTCATAAAAATGTTCATACTAAATCACTTCGAACTTTATAAACATTTCTTCATTTAAGCAAAATTTTATAAGATTATCAAAATGATCCATTTCTATTATAGTTTTTATCAATATTTGAAATACTGATGGTAAAGTTCCCATTGTAAACCAATTCACCTCATGTTATTAAAGGGCAAAACTATGAGCAATTAATAAGTGTTTTGTACAATTTTAGGCTATGAGGCTATGATATGGGAGCATTTTATTGTTTTTGTTATATTATTTTCATTTTGTTTCTATCGTTATTATTTCTATCTTCCAATAGTCCTGTTTATGGTCACATTTGTTTCTTATAAATCAAAATGGTTTATATTGGATTGTAAAGGTGTCTTAACTCATCCAAAAAGTTTTCTTTTGGTTTAATTATTCTGATTTCTTTCTGTTCAAAGCAGTTTTTTTTGGATCATTTGAGTTCTTGGAACTGAACTGGTTTCTTTTGACTTTACTTTATTCTCTGTTGAGCTTTTTACTGGTTTACCAACTGTAATAATACAGACAGATGACCTCTAAAAGTTTTGTGTGAGCTTAAGGATTTAGATGGCTTAGAAAACAAACACATGCTTTTAAAATGATATTTCATCTCAACAAAATCACCACAGAAAACAAAGAATGTCTCGGAGATCAAAAGAACTTAAAACAGGAAGTAAATATCATGTATTTGGAATGGTTCCCTATGACTGGTTTTTCAGCTTCACATGGAGCCAGTCTGATTGAAGTCATTGACTGGTACATCAGGGTTTTCCCACTAATTATTAACAGGTTGACCTTAATTACCTGTTAATGTCAGGAATGCTCAAAAGAATGTTTCTGTAGTTGAACTTAATATATTTCTACACATCGAAAATATATAGTAAAAATATGTAGTGTATAGTAATGGAAATGTACCTACTCCAAACAAAAAATATGATGAAAAGTTGGAACTTTATGTTTTAGACAAGTTAAATGATCTTGAATACCATAATAAACATGTGTTTGGTTGTTTTGATTGATTGACACAAAATGGTTGTAATTTTTTTAAAGATATGACATACTAACATAATCATACCAGATTTGCAATTATTCTTGCATTATTAATTAGTTACATATATAGTAACATATATCTGAAATTTCGATTTGTTTTTGGTATTTCAACACTATTTAGGTAAAGGTACCATTGACTATCAACAGACAGATGTTCTTAATTATTTCAATCATTTCTTGTTTGAAATCAGAAATGTTAATAATTGAACACACATATAAATATCATTATATTTAATCAAAGCATAATAAAGTTTATAAATCCAGGTGAAAAATATGAATTTTCTCTCTCAAACAGTATCATTTTTACCCTAAAGGGCTAAGAGTTATTTGAATATTGCCAATAACCAAAAACCTCTCCTCCTATCTTGGCACAATATCTACCAAAAAAACAATCTGTGCACTGAATCATTACAACAATTAATTCAGAACAGCTATTTTATAGGAAAATTAAGGTTTAAAAGCTTAATCTTTTACATATATTTTCAGATCTGGAAAACAACCCAGAATATCTGAGGATGATCTCAGATGCAGAGCAGACCAGTCAACGGAGACGTTCCGGGGATCCTTCCCACACTACTGCAGACTCGTCCAGCTTTCATGATGGTCTGGAAGATGACGAGTTCTTAAACAAAGTGTGTAAATTTGAACTTATTTCACGTGGTAAAAATTCGCCAACAGCGAAAAGTCCAACTGTCAAAACACCAGGAAAATTTAATATAACATCACCGGACGGTAGATCTGGTCGAAGGTCTGGTGAAAATTTCTATTACGGAGAAAAGTTATTTAGTAAGGACACTGCAACCACACGTGTCTCAGCAAGCATTTTACAGCCTGCCAAGTCACCCAAACCAGATGTAAATGCTCATGATATTAATGCAAACTCTGTAGGTAGTTTTGGAAGTGTTTCCATGAGAAGGAAATCAAATGAATCTAGGAATTCTGGTTCAAGCTTTAAGTCAAGATCTTCAACAAAGAGTAACGAAAGTCCAAACATATCTTTAAGTGATACAAGCTCTAATTCTGCTAACACCTTTTTTAATAGCCCAGTTTCCCCTGTAAGGAAAACTGAACTTGCCACTTCACCTTTCTTTGAGGGGTCAAATATACAAAGGTCAGGGTCAGGTTCACAAAGGTCACCTGCAGTGGCACCAAAACCTGTTCTAGATTCTCCAAAAGTTACAGTAGACTTTGTGCAAAGTAAACAGGACTCTAAACAAGAAAATACTAATCTAAGTGCTAAAGATAAATTAAATGTGAGTGCCAATGGATTAACAAATGGGAAGGATTATTTGACAATTGAAAAGGATGAAAATGATTCTGCAGGCTGCAGGAATACATTCGAAGGAATTGATTTTGATTTTAATGAACTGACAGAAAGTCAGAAAGATTTAACCTTAAAGCATAGAGAGATAGTTGCAGAGAGAAAACAAGAACAAGAGATGGAGAGGTTAGAGCGGCAACGTTTGGAGGAAATTTTGAATATGTGTGCGGAATATGAGAGGCAGATAGAAGAGGAGCAGACTCACACTTTGAAGAAACAACATGAAAAGTTTGTAGTCACAGAAAAAACCTCAATACCTCCAATACCGCCTCTTCCACTACAGTATCAGCATTTACAAAGTAACTTTAGCAACCAAAGCCAGAGTTTACCTGGTTTTAACCAAGGTCAAAATTCGCCACGTGTATCACAGGTCAGTCATCAACAAGTTCAGCCTCATCGGCAGGTGCAAACACCAAAAGGTCTCGACTTGGAAACACAGTCTCTAGAAAGGCGTGATATTGCCAAGTCAGAATATCGTAGCTCAATGACCAATAAAATAATGACCAATGGATCGCTTACAATGCTTTCGTCACCAACAAACTCACATAAAGAATTTTTCCTCGGTTACCAAATGAGAAAATGTGGGTCAAATTCTTCAAACTCTGAGGAGGAATCATTATGTGGGAGCTCAGAGGACACAGGAACAATAAAGCGGCGACCAAATTCAAATCAGGGTACTTTCAGTACAGAAAGGCCAAAAAGTCCAAGGACTTCACCAAGAAGTCCTAAATCTGTATCAAGTAAAAATTGTGTCCAATCAAGTTCAGCCGCGTTTTCGCCAGACCAATTGCAATCAAGCATTCATTACAGTTCAGCATTTTCATCATCCAATCAAAACACTCCATCGCCATTGGTTTCTAGGTCACAAAATGTTCAAAGTCCTCCTCAGGCAGAAAGTAATATAGAAAACGATTTTGCAAAATCATTTAAGATAGAGCCTCTAAGATTGAAAAATGTTGGTGTGGAGTTAATGGAAAGAAAAGATATAGAAAATTTAGAAGAAGGAAGTCATGCGTCTACTTACAGTGAGCCTGAATGTGACCTTCAAATGAATCAAGATCGCCTTAACGAATTACAAATTCATGAACCAGTGTCTAGTAAAACATATGAGGGATCAAACCATTATAATGGTCAACAAAGACAATTGTTTGATGGAAACAATGCAAATGGGGCTCCATCATTTAGTGCTAGATCTCTAGAAACGGAGGCTAATCATTCACATGGTGCTACTAGAAATGTTAATTTGTATTCATCTCGGAGTAAAAATACGGATCACCATGACTATGTGAATATAAATGGATCTCTTTCCTCTGATTCCAATAGTGAGAGTCCGGGTTCCTCCAGTACGTCAACTGTATGCCCTACAAGTTATCATGGATTTATTAATAATATTCTGTCGGCAGGTTCACCACGATCTTCGGGGTCAATAAGTGAATCAAAGTCATCGAGTATTGAAAATGTGACGCCTATAAATAGTGACAATGAGATTAACCTGACACTGACGAGGGGGCAGACTTCAAGAGCCTCATCTACAGGTACTACAGACTCAAGCGAATGTTCGTGTGGAACAATAGATGTGAGTATTTAATTATATATATATATATTTATTAGTATAACCGGATTGAAATTTCTTGTCTGAACTCTTCAAACTGCATGAATTTATTTAGCAACTCTTAAAGCTGCGTGGGATTATTTAATGCATTTAAAGAATATTATAATTTAATCTTGTTATATTTGTGTAATGGACTTGAATTTGGAATAGTCCATAAATAGTTTAAAGGAATACAGTATCAATATACAGTTCTAAGTATTTATCATTACAGAATCATTTAGTTTTGACACAAATGCAGACTGACCTTACTCAATACTGGTGGCATTTGGTCTGCTGTTGTTTTGTAAGCCATTAACATTCTTGGTATTTTGAATTGTACATCTTTAAATCTGGGCAAAACCATTAATCATTTAAGGGATGTGTTGGCTGATCTTGAACTGATCTGGGTAAATGGGTAGAATCTGTTGATTTCAGCAGGCTAAGTTAATATGATGTGCAAAAATTAAGGGTTATAGCTTTTCTGAACATTTTTAGTGATACAAGGGAAACAACCAGTACTTACTTAAATAGTCATGAGTTGTGTGCAAGGAGGTTGTCTCCCTTAATTTAATAACAAAATGAGTCAAATATATGGGGAAATGTTCATGGTCTACCACAATTGACCTCTGTAACAGACACTTGAAGGGATAATTGCTTAAGTTCATATGCTGCACATTTCCTGTAATAGGATCATCCTATTATTTTCCACTTTAATTTGTTTTCAAACAAAGTAGATCAACATTTATGACATTACAATCACATACCATGGTTATTTGATGGTTTAAATTGTCCTGAGGATTAGTAATCGGGCTATATTTTAAGATATACCTATCCTGTTTTAAATTTGGAACTGTTCATTTATATGGACTCCAAAACATTTAGGAGGAACCTGCAGTTTAATCTTCTTGTCAGACTGGTCACTGTACAAATATACAAACCTGTGTGGCTGTATAGGGGCTCATATAGGCTTTTAATCATGTAGACTAGAGCACATGATGTGAAATCTTAACCCTCAATCTGCTGGTACTATATCCAAGTTTTTAGCCCTTGCCACCAGTATAGAGCCAGACCAACATGCACTTTCATGCAGTCTGACCAGGCTCTATACTGTTGGTAAATTGATACTCCAAGAATCCTTTTACCTTGGTCCACTCAATCGACTGTTTTAGATTTAAAGCATCGTAAATTCATCATGTTTGCAGGTGAAAGTTTAAATGATTGTTAAAACAGTAATTTTCACATTTAAGGTGTGACAGACTGAAAGCCTAATTAAAAGATTTTGGTATAAATCCTTAATATTTAATGGTTATTTTTCCATTTTTGGGGTGATCAAAATGAGGAAACACTTATATACTGAATATCAAAATGCATGAATTGCAATTGAACAAAATTTATGATAAATGTCAATCTGCCATGAAACATTAAAGGTTATGTGTATTTATGTTTATGTCCCTGAAGATGCCTATATGTATACCTCCTGGTGAGTACCCTGGAGGCATGAGTACAACTACCATAAGCTATATTATTAGATTTCCTCCTCTAATTGAAGACTGCAATGTCCATGGCTGGATACGAACCAACAGCGGTGAGGACTGTTAGCTAAATCAGTGACTGAAATAACTTTGACATGGAGGACCTTTATACCAAGTACTGAGCTGAATAAATAGATTTTTAATAAGATTCTGTTTTAAAATAAAAAGAGACAACTCAGAGACACCCACTATGACTGTACTTTATGAACAAGCTATGGTCTTTATTTATCTAGTGAGACAAATTACTTTGTGAACGATAGTACTTCAAGTTAAATCCAATCGTTTTAAAATTTCTTATCACCTAAATGACCTTCCGACAAAGGAGCCATAATCAGTGTGGCATATTTCGCACAAGTGAGCAACTAATAAGTCCAGTATTTACGGCACAAGCTGTTGACTTAATAAGATATGACGATATTTTTACTTCTGCCAAAAGGTAGCCGTAAATAGTGAAATAATGGAATAATGCTATAATCAGACTAGGGCGAGTTTATATATGGTAAAAAATACCGAAACTATTTGGTCATGACGTGTGTCAGTTTTACAGTTCCGGTGTGTTTGTTGTGTTTTGATTAGTTTCTTTTTTTAATAAATTGTAGTATGATCGTCTTCATTTAATGATTCAAGTTGTGTTTATGTAAATCTATTTGCGAGACTCAGTCGTGCTTAAAAACTATCTGTGTATGTGTAAACTTGACAGTTGTTACAATTATAAATAGCCGTTTTAAATAGGATAAAAAATGTTTAGGAATGCCGGTGTTTACATTTTATGTTAATACTTAGATCGGTTTCAGTTGTGTTTTTTTGTACGTTTAGATTTAATATTTCATATTCATTTGGATTAGGATAAGCCGTTATAAGATCGATCACATGGTATGTTTATAACCAATTTATAATGTTTTTATCTTTTTCATAAGTGCATTGAACTGTGCTATAATCTGTAGTTTGTTCAAGTACTTTTTGTACATGTACATAATTATTTGGTACTGAAATATTCCGGGTGTACTGACATTTGTAAACCCACGTTACATCTAAGTTTTGTATAATTATTGTATAATCAATATGACAACGTGATGTTATCTAACTAATTAGTTTTTGTTTTGCTATTTTGGATCGAACTTAAATAAAATATTAAAGTTCCTATTATGAAAAAAACAACACAATTTAGTAAATATATGATACCAAGTTATTTTTTAAAGAACCTAAAGGGCTTTGAAATCATGTGACTATAAGTTTGTTCTGTTCACATTCAGTCAGTACCTATTTTGAAATTTTCCCTAAAATTGATGAATTGTTTTGACCAGATTAATAGATGGACAGGTCCATTTCAGATAGTTAGTGTGGTGAGGTTTAAACAGATTTTTTTCTTGTGCATAGATTGTTAGGTGTTTGAGCATTATATTGGTATATGTACATATTAACAATTATGTATGTTGTAAAATTTTCATTCTATTGAAATTCTTATGTTTAAGCATTGCTAGAAACTAAAAGTAATGTCATTTAGTACTATTGAAAACCTGGGACCTTTGAAATTCATATAACAATCTATTGAAACTTGGTTGTAAAATACAGTGACATTCTGATACTTTGTCACCAGAGATGCTTGGGCTCCTGCAGTAGATTATATGTTACACACTTTATAAACATAACAGTGATGTGTAGACCAAAATACAGAAATGTGCTTAAGAACTGCTCTTGAAAACTAAAGAAATGTATGATCAAAGCTGCATTGTAAGATAAATAGCATTGTTATTTTATCTAAGGTCAAGGTTATCAGAATATATTGACCTACAGGTCATGTCAAGGTCAACCAAGTACAATTTTTTACAGTCTGCTTGTAAATGTTTTCTTCCGTAAAGACTATTATTTTCTACAATTTAGGAATGCAAATTTAATGTACTTTGATCTCGAATATACATAAGTTGATTGACAGGTATTGATTTACATATTTGGAATTTATGATCCATGAGTTAATCATGTCTGTTCAAATTATATATTTAATGAATAGAAATAGAAAGTAAATGACAGGACAGATCTTATCTGTATTGTCTTTGTTTAAAAAAAACTCTTCAATTTTAATAAAAATGTCATCTTTGACTTGATATAATAAAAGTAAATTTGTTGAATGAGTATTTTTATAACAAAACAAAGTTTTAAATTACATATATATGTATATAACTGATATTATTATATTAAGAAAAATAAATGTTATTTTGTCTGACCTTGAATGAAAGTTCAGTTTATGGTTTAAGTATACATATGTATAAATGAATAAATATGTATAAATGAAAAGGAAATGAGCCATGCATGGCTTTATGGGTAAGGGATAAAAATCTTGCCAGTAGGGCATGAATTTTGTAAGAATTTAATTGACAATTTGGTTTCTCCAGATGGGGGTAAAGGGTTGAATTGAATATAATATTTATATGAGAAGATTATGAAAAATAAAAATTAAGAAGAATACACAATTCAGTTGGACTAGTATTAAGCATGAGTGGATTCCTTTGAACACACCAAATAACAGGGCCGGCAAAATTTTATTATAACTTACTCAGCTATTTTATTTGAAACACATTTTTACTTGTCAGTTCAATATTTATAAAGTAAATTCAGGAAAGTTTTCACTTTGTCTATATATAGTCTTTGGGACAATTTGGACAATACTTTGTCCATATATAGTCTTTGGGACAATTTGGACAATACGGACAACTGATTTTTCGATCTTGACCAGTCATAAGGAGTAGCAATATATTTCATGTGGTTTGATACAAGAGCTGCATGGTAATCTGATCTAGAGTCGCACACGACTCAAACTGTCCGACAATTTTGAGGTTTACCACTTCCTGTTTCGTATCCAAGAACTTAAAAGTAATGAAACTTGAACAGTTGAAGTAGCATGCTCTGTTCTTCAAATTCTGATAACCTAACAAAATAAAAAAAAAAATATTCATAATATTTTGAGTAATTTTCTTAAAGTGTTCTGTAATTGACGTTTTATGAATTAACTAACTCTGGTTACTTTTTATAGCATATTCTGAATAGTCATTGGCAATACTGATTTTCATACCTTTTAGGGGTTTTTTCCCCTTCAGTGGCTCGTATTTGTTCATAAAACACATGCAGAAAGTTCAGTAATAATAGAATTGTGTATGAACAAAAAAAAGTAAAAAAAAAAGAAAAGTAAAAACGAGAAAAGAATATTTGAAGAATTTTCGTCAGAAACCAAAGTCAAACAAATGCCCATAAAAGGCTAATATGATCTCTTTATACATGTATAATTTTCACTGTCAAAAATATGATAAACTTGTGTAAAGGGTCACATATTTTACACAAATAAGAGGAATGTATTGGTTTGTGGTTTTATGAAGGGAAAGAACATTAAAACAGTACACTGGAGATAAGATAGTCGGAGTTACATTATTATTTGCAATAAATCTTTTTTAATAACCTTAGTATAGAGCAGTTTGTTTTTCTTAAGGTCTGACTCAAATGAGTACATGTAGACATAAATGACTTGCATTGACCTTATCTGCAAGATGATAAATAAACTATATTTATATGTGTTAAGAGTACTTTATTTTAGCCTGGTTTTGGTATAATTTAAAGACGTAAACATATGTTTAAATAGCTTCAAGGTTACATCATGAATCCACCAATAATGGCTCAGATTCTGAGAACTGCCTCAACTTTCAGGATTTAAATTTCATTGGTCAGTGCACATTCTATGCTAGTTTCTGACCAATCGAATGCCTTACATTAAAATTTGAGCTTAAAGAATTTCTTTATAACTGTGGAAACTGATTTTCTACTGGAGAGGTCTGGCTACAACAAGACTTTGTCTAAGAGTGTGGGCAGCTAGCATAAAATACTGTTAAGTTACTGGTACAGACATGGCTTTAAACAGTTGACAATTTGGTTGCTTTATTCATTTTGGTATTTTGATTCAAAAACCCTACAAATTTATAATGGACAATAACAATCACTGGTCTGGATTAAATTCAAGACCAGTCCATTAAGCAAATTGGGAAGGTAACGGGGTTAAACTGCATAAAATAGCACGTTTAATCGTAAAAATAGTTTTAGGCTTTAATATGAAGATTACAATCTTGTTACAATTTATGATGCGGTACTTCGGTTTTGTCATCGGTCTTTGTCCGATATTGTTGACAAAGTGCTCGTGATTATTGACAGGAACTAATACGTCTTTTCAAATTTATCTCTTTTGAACTTTATAACAATCTTTCCCGTAAGTGAAATCTCTTGATCTCAGATCTTCAACTGTGTACCTTTTGACTCAATATCTAACGTTACTTAAATCTCTGTTTAAACATGAGGACAGGTTTTTTTATCATTAAATATTTTATAGATCATCAGTGTTTATATGATTGTCTGTTTGAAACAGTCCTGAATAAAGAAATTATCATTATTATAATTTATGTTTTCCCCTAAATAATGCATTTTAATTGGTTTTTAAGATTTTCTAAGTGAAAACTCTTCTTGTCAATGGTCAGTTTTAAATTTTGGTGTGGAAGTAAACCAATGGACAGGCATAATAAATGTATTCTGAGACCATAAGTTTTAAAGGATTCTCTTTGGACAATGTTTTGGTTTTCAATTTTATTTTTGCTCTATGAAAACCTATGCACATCATGCACTAGAGTGGAGAGGACAAGATAGCTGAAATAGTTTTCAGGGCTGATTAATGCATAGACATGATGGTAAATGCTGAATAATTGTTAGGTTGACCTAGCTCAAAGGGGTGCAAAATTCATAGACTGTTTAAGAAATCACACCTTATTATGTTTATCTAAACATTTTGGTTAAGGATGGCACTTTTACACTGTGGTATCTAATTTGCTTATCATAACAATGATCTGGGCTCCTAATATGGCAGGATGGCAAAGGTCTGTCTACATTATAAGTGTAACTTTGTCACTTAAATTAAGCTGAAACTGTTGAAATAATCCAAAGAATAATGATTATCTCATTTTACATATCAATTTTGTTCTTAATCTTGTTTTCAAAAATATGATTACAGGGCTTAAAGTAGGCTTAATTTTGTTTACCTTTGTTTGAAGTTATTGTGTAAATCCTAAAAGAACATTAACAATTTTATTTCTAATATTGTTTGAACTGTTACGCTTGTAACATTAGTTCAAATAGATCTTTACCTATGATAGAGAAATGACAAATGTTTTCTTTTGTTGAAAGAAAACAAATTTTCCTAGATGAACCCAACAAAATATGTCTCTGAGATAGACCTGTTCAAAATGATAAGTTATATAATCATATTGTCTAAAAAGAATCTATTCTTCCAGACACGGTATTATAGATAAGATTATTAATATTAGCCTTCAATGCAACAGTTTGGGATATAGGCTCTGGTTTAATTTGGAACCATATCATAACCTCCATCGAACATTTGATCAAGTTTTGGAGCCAAACTTGGTGACATTACCTGCATTTTACAATACATGTATACTACTGGTACCAAGTAGGAAGCCAGACCCCCTTAAATTCTCCTCTTTTAAAATGTAGAACCATTTAAACCCCAGAATGATCTGACATTAACCCTCATTCACAAACTGTCTCTCTTAATCCCCTGCACTGGCTCCCATTGTTTAAGAAAATTATATAAACTTGTGACCATGATGCAAGTTTAAAGGGACTTAAAAGGGTTTAAAAGCCTTAAAAACATAACATTAGAATTCTTACATAAATGAACTGGGGCGCTTTAGACAGAAATATATGCAAAGATAGTTAAGAAATATACTTTAAAATAAATCGAAAATCATAGTTTTATGCTTTTCTTAGCCTTATTTGAATGAAAGCGTTAAATGCTTTTCATTTTGGGGTCATTTTTTTACCAATTTGATACTTATTATGGAAAAAACGAAGTGCTCGTTATGATCTGAAAAGTTTGCACAAGATTCGTGGTCTACACTACATCAAAATGGTACATTTATCTGGAAAAAAATATTTTCGTCTCTTCATGTCAAAAACTCAGTAGGAGTCCCTTTAAGTGAGTCTGTTTGTATAGTTATTGTTCAAAATGGTTGTAAATGTGTAAATGCATGCCCATGTAATTGCACATTTTACATACATGTGCATCATCAAACATTGCAAACATACTGCACAATCTAGGTGTTTAAACTTTCTCTTTTTATTTATCATCTGTCAAAACCTGTTTGGAATTTCTTAATTATTTCTATATTCAAAACTCAAAATGGGTGGTGCTTGTGTTAGAGATATACATATCAGAATTAGATAAAAACAGGTCAACAATGTGAAAGCTTTTTTGTATGTTTTATCTCAGTATTAAGAATAAGTCAACATTTACCTTTTATATTTAAAATTTACATATTACCCAGACAGCTGTTAGATTGATCTTTACCTGCATATTTGGCACTATATTTTAAAGTCCCGATGTCAGAATGTGACAAATTATCGGTTATGCACACTTGACATAACTCTTGGAATGTTAAATGTAGCCAGATGGCGTTGGATTAATCAAAAATGTTTATATACATTATATCCATTATATATATGAATTTATGTTAATTATAGCTAAATGTATATAAAAATTATGTTTAAATCCTTTTCCCCTTTGAATTTGTAAAATAGACTTTTTCGACTTTGAATTTTCCATTATATTTAAGGGATCATAAGATCAAAATAGTCAAAAAGATTTCCCAGTGATAATTTAATTTAAGCTTATTTAGAATATGGTCCAAGTGGCATTTGCCAGCTATTATTTGCACTAAGACTTATAAATGCACTGGAACCTCTGCAGAGGGGCCTCTCTTTACAGCATTGACCTCTAGAAATCAACAGTTGCAATTCTTCCCAAAGTAAAACTTTATAATACATTTAACCTGTCTAAAACTACACCAACATATTTGTCTCCAAAAGGGAATTGCTTAGCAGAGGTTTTACTTTTATCAACTGTAATTGTGACCTAGATTCCAGTGTCTGACCATGGTTATGCAGTAATCTGTAGATAAACTTGACGTGGGGGGTCTTAAATTTGAATTTTACTTTGTGTTTGCGATTTTCCAAGTGTATTAATTTCTGTGACTAATAGCAATTTATTCTGCATGTAAGTTGTGAAGAAATGATAGATATCTATCGTTTAAGAAAAATTTATTTTTGCACACACTCGAGAAATGTAACTTTGTCATGTATTTTTTAGTAGTTCTTCAATTAACCATTACTATATTAAACATGAGCATTTCTATCTTACAATCTGGACAAAACCATCGATGATCTTTATGCAAATGTGCTTGGGTAACTTTGGTCTTCGCTGGTTGCATGGGCTAATTCTAGCTAGCATGCTAAGTGTTTCTTATTATACAATTATTGTTGTTATTTCCTCATTGTTCTCTTTTTAATATCAAGTTTTTGTTTTGTGTGTTTCAGGAAGTAGATCCATATTTACAGTTGGAAAAGCTAAAGGTGAATAAATCTGATCTCTTGAAGAAAATCTCAGCTCTCAAACAGCAGATTGTTGACATAGAAACACAAGAAGATGAGGCTCTCAGAGGGGTAAGATTTGTAGGGTCAAGGTCATTATAGATGATTATTATTAATTTATTTGGTTCAAGGTCATTTTAATTAGATAGGTTTGTTTGAACCAAGATTTTTAAGATGATCATTCTTTATTTTGGTCAAGTCCTTTTAATAAGAAGGTAAATAAATGGTCATGAAAAATTTGGTTAATGTCATCTTGAATGCCAATAATTTAGAAAGTTAAGGTCAAGATCATTTGAAAGAGAACATGTTATTTAAATTCTTCTGTAGCATCACAATAATTTGGGTTGATTTGACCTTTGAACTTGGTTATGGACATTTTAAAAGGATATGATAAATATTGATCAAGGTTATTGGAAATGATGACTAGTACGGTCAATGTTAGAAATTAGAAGGATTTGATTTAATTTTGCCTATTCTTCATACATATTTGTAAATATATAAAATTGCATTAAATGTTATTCTTTTTAGTCATGAAAGAAATTGCCATTTTTGTAAGCGTGAGATTTCTTCAGTTACACTCGCCTTTATTACTAAAAAAAAAAGTAGAGGAATTTTTCAGTAACCTAAATATCTACAACAGTATTTCTATTGTTAAAAAAAAATATGTTTAAAATTCAAGAATCTCTCCGTTTAAATGATATACTTATTTCTCCCTCACAGCTTGAGATGGAGAGAGCGTTATTGGAAGGTGAACATCAGACAGAGATGGAGCGACTACAAGACGACCAGGAAAAGATCAGGCACCTGAGACATAAACAAAACATGCTGATGGAGAAAGCTTCCAGGGAGAGAGAAAAGGTGCGGGTAACTCTTGATGACTTGATGATTGTTGTAAATATGTATATGAAATATGGGGAATTACCCTTAAACTGTTGAATTTATGAAATGGACTTGCCTTGCTTTGAATTTGGAACAGTGCTTGAGATTTCAATATCTGAACCAATGGTATGATGGTAGGTCAGGCTGCACAGATGTGCAGGCTAGCCTGGCTTTATACTGGTGGCAAAGGCTGATCAATTTGGTTCCAGCTTGGTCTTTAACCTTGACCCTTAATTGTTTAACTTGTTGGTTGAATGGTTGAAGTTAATTTGAAGAAAAGGGGATATAACCATTTCATACCAAGGTTGTTGGCTCTGACAAAAATTCTTTGAACTACATGTTAATTTATCAGTGTGCACATTGGGATAATTTGAAAATGACTATTTGCTTGCATTGTGTCACTCTGCTGGAAAGGGAAAATTGACCCTTCTTAAACTTGAATGAATAAAAGACCAAAAAATAAAAATATTTCAATGTTTTCTAATAATTTTTAATTAGAAATTTCAAGGTTTGTTTTGTGATTTTCCACAAAAGAAATTGGACTTTATTGCATTCAGATTATACACAACATTTTTTTGTTAGAATGACAATTTTATATTTTTGCGTATTACTTTAAAGACCCTGTATTCTTAATATATATATATATTTACTCACAACTCACAAGGCTTTACTAACTTTATTAGTTTGACTTTATTGATTTGGTGTACCTATGAAAAACATCCTGCAATACATTAACCATTTAAACAGTTTACTTTTTGTCCATCTGGTTTTAACACAGATTTCAAAACATTTTTGATCATAGTTCAGCAATCGTTCCACCTAACTGTATTTTCTGGGTAACTAACCAGTAATTACCAATTTCTCTACCAATGATCAACTTCTATTACCACAAGATATCTAAATCATTGGTGAGAGATAAATAACCATAAGACTCATTGCCATGATCATTTTGTCATAGAGAAAATTTGACTCGCCAAAGGATCATACCTGCATGGCAAAAGTTTCTCTGTGATAATAGGTCACATTTTACCAAATGTATGAAACTCAAGTTATTAATGGGACATTATAATTAAAATTCATTATTTTATAATAGGAAAAGTTAAAGGTAGGATATACTTCTGTATTTACCCAAGATATTATAGGGAAAATATCCATAATTATATGTATTGGTAAATGTTCTGTCTGTATTGACTTGGTTGTTGGAACTTAACTGTAGACATCAAAGTTTCGTTCAAGACAGGGTGAGCCAAAAATTTATTTCTAAAACTGGACTCAATAAATGCAAGGATACATGTATTTTGTTGGAAAATTACATTTAGAAATGATGAACTTATTACATTAAGAAGTGATTCACTTGGATGTAATAGGGTTGTTAAGGTCACAAGACATAAATTTCTGGATCACCTTTGCACTTATATTCATGTCTCAGTAGTATATTATATATTAAAAAGTATTTTAATGTTTTGTTAAACTATATTGTATGGAATGGAGTAGAAAAATGGGTTTGTTAAACTATATTGTATGGAATGGAGTAGAAAAATGGGTAGATGTTGGGTCACTGTAGATTTCAAGTCATAATTACTATGCTGCAAATTTATATTGCAAATTTGCAGCTTAACAGTTTAGGGACATGTTTCATCACATGTTACAGAACAGTTGCTCCTCCCACATTAAAAGTGCTCCATCCCATATTTTAGATGCTCCTCCCCACATTACAGGTGCACTCCCACTTACTACAAGTGCTCGTCCCTAAAAGTCCTCAGAATTAAAGTCCTTAATGCAACACCATGCTCCATTCCTCTTTGCATTACTTCTGACACATATTGATGCAAAGTTCAATATTGTCAAGTAACTATGGCCTCTAACCAAGTAACTAACGATGGTAAGACTCCTTACAATGTTTAAGGTATCTTACTACCTTATAAATAGTCAGTGGTAACATCCTCTGCTCCAACTGTACTCTCACTTGCCAGAGCACAGGAGGTTCTCCTTCGCCAGTTGTTAAATCTCAAGTTATTACCGTCACAATGTGTGTGTATCTTTAAAGAAAAAATATATATGTCCTAAGATTTAAAGATTTAAACATGCACATAGATATTTAAGCTTATGAATATTGCAAGGAATATATGTAAATGCTAGATTTCAAAATGTTTAAGTATTATGATTTATGCACATACAATCAAAATGTACCTATCTGTATAAAAGTTCATACCATTTCAGTCTGTATAAAGCATGTGAAAACTGGGGTGTCTATGGGTCTTATCATAATGTATTGATATATTAACATATATGAAGTCATTATAGATTATGTATAAATGATGTATAAATTTGTAAAAAGTTCATAGTCTTTGTTACTCAAAGTTTATGTCTCTTATACTTCTTTTAACTTAGGTTTTACCTTCTCAATATTGCTAGTAGTTTGTCACTTTAGGTCCTGTAATACAACCTGCACTTTACACAATATAAAATATTTACACAGATAATGTTACTCATAGTTTATGTCCTTTTAGTTTATGTAACAGAATTGAACCTACACTTTACACAATATAAAAGATTTACACAGATTATGTTACTCATAGTTTATTTCCCTTTAGTTTATGTAACAGAATTGAACCTACACTTTACACAATATAAAAGATTACACAAATTATGTTACTCATATTAACGTCCCTTTAGTTTATGTAACAGACTACAACCTGCACTTTACACAATATAAAAGATTACACAAATTATGTTACTCATAGTGTACTTCCCTTTAGTTAATGTAACAGAATTGAACCTACACTTTACACAATATAAAAGATTTACACAGATTATGTTACTCATAGTGTACATCCCTTTAGTTAATGTAACAGAATTGAACCTGCACTTTACACAATATAAAAGATTTACACAGATTTAATAATGTTACTCATAGTTTATGTCCCTTTAGTTTATGTAACAGAATTGAACCTACACTTTACACAGTATAAAATATTTACACAGATTATGTTACTCATAGTTCATGTCCTTTTAGTTTTGTAACAGACTACAACCTGCACTTTACACAATATAAAAGATTTACATATTGTTAATAGTTTATTTTCGCACTTCACTAACAAATTATTACATTGTTTACTTACATAGTTACTCACAGTTTATATCTAACCATACCCTGTGTAGGGATGTAACATAATTATAAATTATTCAATAATATAATTGATATTTACATAGTCTATGTTACTCATAGGTTTTTACTCATAGGTTTTGTCCTACTGTCTGTGACATTACCTTCATAAATTATTACATATGACTCACTATATGTCCTGGTTTGAGGCTGTCCCATTAATGAGATTTACACAGTCTGTGTAACATAAACATATACATTGTAATATAATAAGACAAAAAAGTTAAATTTTATAACTGCATGGTATGGGATTGTCTATGATTGATCCCTTGCAGATTAATTAAGATCAATAATTATGTAAGTTGCAAATTGGTTGTTGTAGATAATAGTTGAGGAATTTCAATTATGATCACTGCGTCTTTGTCATTGTTGTTGTGCTGAAACTTTGATATAACCAATTATTCAATCATTTCAATACTTGTTTAACTTGACAAGGTGCAGTTGTTAGACAAGGGGCATAATTCTAAAAGCTCTATGGTTTTATTTATGCCCCTTACACAAGGGGCATAATTCTGAAAGCTCTATGGTTTAAGTTATGCTCATTTTTAGCTCGACTATTCGATAAGAATAAGAAGAGCTATTGCAGTCACCCGAGCGTCGGCGTCGGCGTAACCACTTATGTTAAAGTTTTTGTAATAGTTCAAATATTTTCAAAGTCCATTGACATATGGCTTTGAAACTTTGCACACTTGTTCACCATCATGACCCCAACCTGTAGACAGGAGGAGGTAACTCTATCAAGCATTTTGACAGAATTATGCCCCTTTTTCGACTTAGAATTTACGTTAAAGTTTTTGTAATAGTTCAAATATTTTCAAAGTCCATTGACATATGGCTTTGAAACTTTGCACACTTGTTCACCATCATGACCCCAACCTGTAGACAGGAGGAGGTAACTCTATCAAGCATTTTGACAGATTTATGCCCCTTTTTCGACTTAGAATTTACGTTAAAGTTTTTGTAATAGTTCAAATATTTTCAAAGTCCATTGACATAATTATGGCTTTGAAACTTTGCACACTTGTTCACCATCATGACCCCAACCTGTAAACAGGAGGTGGTAACTGTATCAAGCATTTTGACAGAATTATGCCCCTTTTTCGACTTAGAATTTACGTTAAAGTTTTTGTAATAGTTCAAATATTTTCAAAGTCCATTGACATATGGCTTTGAAACTTTGCACACTTGTTCACCATCATGACCCCAACCTATAGACAGGAGGAGGTAACTCTATCAAGCATTTTGACAGAATTATGCCCCTTTTTCGACTTAAAATTTACGTTAAAGTTTTTGTAATAGTTCAAATATTTTCAAAGTCCATAGACATATGGCTTTGAAACTTTGCACACTTGTTCAACATCATGACCCCAACCTGTAGACAGCAGGAGGTAACTCTATTAAGCATTTTGACAGAATTATGCCCCTTTTTCGACTTAGAATTTACTGTTAAAGTTTTTGTAATAGTTCAAATATTTTCAAAGTCCATTGACATATGGCTTTGAAACTTTGCACACTTGTTCAACATCATGACCCCAACCTGTAAACAGGAGGAGGTAACTCTATCAAGCATTTTGACAGAATTATGCCCCTTTTTCGACTTAGAATTTACGTTAAAGTTTTTGTAATAGTTCAAATATTTTCAAAGTTCCATTGACATATGGCTTTGAAACTTTGCACACTTGTTCACCATCATGACCCCAACCTGTAAACAGGAGGAGGTAACTGTATCAGGCATTTTTTTTACTATCAAGCACTAAGAATAGTCGAGCGTTGCTGTCCTACCGACAGCTCTTGTTAACTTATAATATTTTTGTCAGAAAGTGGTTATTTTAACAGACAAGTGTTAACACCGCATTTGGTGCTCTTGATTAAATTTTTATAACTAAAATATTTTATAATTGACAAAGTGACAGTCCTGTATAGTTTTCTTTCCTTAGTTATCCTAAGTGAATATTTTATTATCATCTTTCACAATATCATTATTTGATAATAACCTTGTCCTACTCAATTTTAACAAATGTCTGAAAAATGAAATGTATATAAAAGAATATGAACAAAAATAGTATAAGGAGATAAAATAACAATTACATTCTAGGAAAGTTTTAGAGGTGATTGTCCCACTTTTTGAAAAAGTTGTAGTTCTGAGAATTCTAAAATTAATGATCCTCGTCACCCATTTTAATAACAGTTTTATAAAATTCAAGTAATTGTTTGTAAAGGTTATTTGTAAAAACTTAAATGTTTAACATTCTTTTTTGCAAGATTCTAGAATGACGTACAATTTCAAATAAGATCATTTCGACACCTTAGCAATAAAAACATTTTATTTTAATTTGATCTCCTTGGGTGTTTTTGGTTAAAGATTTAAATTAATGACAACCTTTGCAACTGAGTTATTGAATATGTTTTTGGCATAATGTGAATGTTTTTTTGCTTACAAAGGTACACTAAAAAAAAGAAGATGATTTTGAATGAATATTTGATTAGGGGAAAAAAAAACTGAAATTTTGATTAAATGTTGAAGTGACATAAGTTATTCTAATTTGATAGTTGAGATCATTAGAATGTTTTTTGTTGTTGTTATTTTCTTCTAGTTTTTCAAGATGACAATTTGAAAACAATTTGTGATGGTAAATAGAAGATTTATGACTGGTGATAAAGGGATAATTTTCCATCTTTAAACCTTCAATTTTTGTTAAGAAGACACCATGACATAGTCAAGTTACTTGAACCTTTGACATATTACATATCATTTGACATATAATTTACATCTTTATGCAGAGTCATGTGTATATATCAAACACCTGGGCTAAAAATTATGAAATCTGACTTCTGTAACCAGTCTATGAAAAAGGAAGCATATGATTGGCTGCTTCTATACAAGATTTAAAAAATCGACCAATCACAGTGCAGCATTTCTAGATTGATCCTCTATCAAGACTATTCATAATACCAATTTTGGGTATGTTTCATCAGAGGAAAGGTCCTTAAAAATATATCATAAAAACAAAACAGACCACTTGACAAAAGTCAAAAAGGTTTAGCCAAAAGTGTGCGAGGAGGAAAAATTATGATAAAATATTTGTGTAACAGAGAGGCCATTGTTTGTGTTCTTACAATTGTACTTATTAAGTGTTCCTGTTATATCAGCTATATACATCATGTTAACTGCAGAAGTTTAATCTGATTATATGCAAGGATTTGTATGTACTTTAGTTACGCATGCATTTATTGTATTTGCATATTAGGATATATAAATGCGCCAGTAAACACCAATAAACAAATTTTACTAAACATAAATCATTTGTCAATTTTGATGCACAATGTGTGAAATTTTACAGATGAGTCATCATTTTCTGTATTTTGAGCTTTCAGCTTTAGGAAACTCTCACTCATGTAAGATTTAATTAAGTGTGTATATCTTAAACTTTGCAAATTATAAAAAAAAACGGCTTTTTACTTTTGACTGTCTTTTGAAATAGTTACTTTTATAACAGGTCTCCAGTTCTTTCTATATCATTATTTGAATGAATAACTGCATTATCGAACAAGTAAATTAATGTTTTCTTTAACGTTTTATCATAATAACATTGCAAATTGTTTATTTTTTTAGACAATTTACACAGTTTTGCATCCACATTTTAATCTTTTTCCCCCAAATGTTTCATTAGTTCCTCATAATATCAGTGCAAATTGTACAGTTTTGCATCCACATAACTTTACAATATTTCCATTTTATTATAGATACAAGATTTTACAACAGAAGAGTTAAATTTCAATGAACAGTCTTTTTCATCTTAATTAATATTTTATTGAATTTCCATTTTCAGGAATTGGCCATTATTGAACGGGAAAGGAAAAAGCTCGAAAATCTAGAGTTACAGAATGGCACCCTTGAAAATCAACTCGAACTGTGTTCTAGTGAAGATAAAAAATCAGTCATGGAAAAACTTCAAAAGAACAAAGAAATGCTTGATAATCAAAGAAAAGTGTTTGATGACCTGGAATTTCAGCAATTAGAGGTAAGAATAGTGGTTAAGATGGAGCTAGCTTGAATCATGATGTGGACAGAGTGTTCACTTTAAAGAATTGAGTGGTCCACGGATCAAGTCCTAAGATTTTCCAGGCTTTTACATTGGGGCAAAAAATGGGGGATACCTAGTAGATTGATAAGGACTTTCTAGAATGTCTGGCAAGTATTTGAACTTCAAGAATTCGAAAAGTTGAATTTCACTCAGAACAATATAAGGATGCTTTTATATACCCTTGTATAATGAGCTATATCTAATACTGACATGGTATTTGTTTGCCGAGGGTTTCAATAAATCAGAGTTTGAATTCCTGTCAGGACCATATGATTTTCAGTCTGTTTTAATACCCAATTCATTCCCATGAACCATACATTAAACTAACTAGTCCTGGAACTATTCCCATGAAGAGAAAGAGACAAAGGGGAGCAGTGGCCTAGTGGTTATTAGATGGCTGTCATTCAACCCACAGATTATCAGTTTGAGCCCTACACTGGTCACATGAACTTGTTCCACAGTTCAGCTTAAATCATTAATATCAATGTGCATTAAGCTAAAGATATATAACAAGCAAGGATGCTACTGTCATTATTATAGTGACCAGGGGCGGCATCAAACTTACAACATTCCAAATAAGAAGCAGATTAGTGCCACCAAAACTAAGCAAGAGCTGTGTTTTCATAGTGGAGAAACTGTGTTAATAAACTTAGTTGATCTGTTTCAGAATTTGGGAGTAGTTGATCAAACATAATTCACCCTAGTCTTTGACTGAAACTTAATTATTTCTATCCACATTCAATATGAATTTTAAAATAGCTTCTTACACATTTTGCAGTCTTTTTTCCTGATTTATCAGTCTTCATTAATGATTAATTTTGGTGCTGCAAAGTAATTTTTGGTGCTGTGATTGAAACTTGTAATTTTTTTTTTTTAAATTGATTGTCTCTTAATTAAGTTTTTGTGCTCTCCACAACTACAAATTGAAGGTATTCAATAGAATTGACTGTGTACAGAAAGACAGGAATTATATGAATGAATTTTTTTCATCTTTTCAGTCTGAAGCCAAGTTTGAAGAAGATAAAGAACAGTCTCAGAGACGATTGCTGGCCGACCAGAACAATTTACTAGATAGATACAGGACAAGGGAGGTAATCATGGAAAATTGATTTAGTATTAATTTTAGAGTTACTTCCCTTTGAAAATGGAACATATAAATAGGAAAATTGAGCATGATATTTTAAAATTGTAGATTGTTTTAATCAATTACTAGTCCCCTACCGGTTTAACTGGAGGGGACTTTAGGTTTACCCTCCGTCCGTCTGTCCGTCCGTCAGTCCGTCGTCCACAAAACTGGATCCCGCGATAACGCAAAAAGTACTGAAAATATTTTTATGAAACTTGATATATGGATAGATGGCAGTATGGAGATTATGCACGTCTTTTTCTTTTCTTCCTATGTTGAAAATTCTGGTTGCTATGGCAACAAATAGTCTGAAAATATGGCAAATTTTACACATTAACTGGATCCAGTGATAACTCAAAAATTACTGAAAATACTTTTATGAAACTTAAAATATGGGTAGATGGCAGTCTGCAGATTATGCACATCTTTTTCTTTTCTTCCTATGTTGAAAATTCTGGTTGCTATGGCAACAAATAGCCTGGATTTCAAGATTTCTGATTTAAATTTTCAGCTTTTTCACTATAAGTTCTTTATTTCTTAAGGTGTTTACTTCAAACTTTAAATATAAGTTTCTGGTCATCAACCACATCATATGTGACAAGGTTTACAACTCTAGCACAAAAATTATCAGTATTACCTCCCTTGAACTTAGAATTTTTATGAAAAAAAATTTGTCTTTTTTAAATAACTTCTTTATTTCCTAATGTATCTACTTCAAACTTCACATATATGTTTCTTATTATCACTCAACATTTTTGAGAAGGTTAAATACTCTAGCATGACTATTTCCAGAATTATGTCCCCCTTGAACTTAGATTTTTTTAGAGAAATTGGTATTTTTTACTCCAACTTCTTCATTCCTTATAGGATTTACTTTAAAATTCCACATCGTAATAATATGACAAGGTTGTATAAACATAATTTCCTTACTAGGCAGGGAAACTTTAAACATTACTGTGAAATAGACAAACTTAGAACTCAAAAGATTTAAGTTCATTCATGTCATTCATTCACTGGTAAAATTGAAATCAGAATGTTGCTGGGGTTCTAACCGGTAGGGGACTTATGAATTGCTTGCAATACTATGATAATTGCTTGTTTAATATGTAATTACATATATTAATCAACACGCTTAGCTCAATGAGAGCATATCGGGTTTGTATTCAAGGCTTCACTGGTTCTATCCTGGGGCTAATAGCAATATCTTTCATGTGTCTTAATGGCCATTTGTCTATGACAGCTGCTTCAGAAATCATGTGGAATTGGTAGACAGTCACTAACAGAGAAATTGTTAATTCTTGTTGGTTAATTATCCAAGAAAGCTAGTTATATAGACCAGAATGTTCTAAAATCTGCATAAACAACCAAACAAACAATTACATGCATTACAGTAGTTTATTGTTAATTTAAGTGATTTCAATATCAAAATGCTAGGGCAAACTAGTAACAGTACTTGGACTTGTCAAACTGTTCTGAGCTGTAGGCTGACTATATTCTAGTGGCATTGGCTAGTCTTTATTGCAATAAATGTTCAGATAATTTAATTCTTGTAAAGGCATTGACCAATCTTAAAGGGACTCTGCTGAGTTTTCTTGACATGACAAGGCCTAAAAAAAAAAAATGTTCTGTTCGGGTCACCCGACCCTACCTAATAATATGCGCCGACCCTACCGTTTTTTTTCGTGTCCAAAAAAAAAAAAAATAATCCATGAAAATACCGTATTATTGAGGTACTCAATGAGCAGTGTGAAGGGCAATTCATGCGAAAATTTCGCTGTGTATATTTCCATTTCATATTCCATTTCGCTCTCCCAATTGATCAAAGAGAAGTCAACATCGCCGATAAAATCTTAATTCCCAAAGAGTAATTGCTTGCCGATGTAAAGAGCAGAGATTGTATCCGCCCATATGACGACTGCTAATTATCATTATCCAATCAGAGCATCGCTATATACTACCCCTCTACCTGTATGCAAAGCGATCGACCGCCTACTCTAAACAGTAAATAATGAGAGCATCGGCCCGAAACGGGTATATTTTGCGAGTTTAATACGGGATTTGGCGATAATTATAGATTAATTTTTTTCGATCATCTAAACACGTGCAAATCTTCCCTAATTGATATACACGCGGTGTTTAACCGTAGTAAAGGCGATGTCCAATGGGTTTTTCACGGCTATCACAAAACTGTTAGTCAATTCGCAAAAATCTTATGATTGGTATGTTGTAGACAGTGAGAGTGTTTTGCATTGTTATCTTTGTAGAAATGCCAAATTTGACACAGCTTGTACGCACGTGGGCACAACATCCTAAAACTACGAATCATGATCGGCATGCGACATATCGGTCGTATATCATGTGCTCATGTAGATCTATATAACAACAAAATTTGTCAGGAAAGAAGTGTTCTTATTTTTTCAATATATACATATTTGTTTTAATGTCATAAATATGACGTTCAGATTAAGATTTATTAATATTGTAAATTTCAAAAAGCATTATTTATAAAGATATTACCGAGTTTAACATTTCATGAAAATAAAGGGAGGTAATTAGAAATTTATTTTCTATAATTTCTCAGTCGAATTTTTCAATAAGAAATGAATGTATATAATTTTAGTGATCAAATATAATGTGCACAAATGTTTGCAGTACATATTTTACATATTCTTCGATATTTGAAAATTGTTTTATAAGCATAATTATATGCACATAAATATGACAATACAACATAGAATACCATGAAAGAAATTTCTGTAAACAGAACAGGATAGACAGATTATATTAATCATTATCCAATGTAACTTTATCTGGAAAGTAAAAATATAAAGTTAATTTATTCATCATAGTTTTCTTACACATTATTATCAAAAATATATGAGAAAGCTTATAAATAGCTGATCAATAGATTGTGTTTCTATTCTAGTTAAAGGATGTATAGCCATGCATGTTAATGCATAAACATTGGGATGTTTCCCTTCTGCCGATTTTTCACGAGGAAGTCACTTCTCCCTAAAATTTCCCCCCAGGATGAGCCCTGGGTACGGTACAGGTTTTAACACCGCTCTTAGTTACAAAATGGCGGATCAAATCGTCAATATTTGTAAAACAGCGTGTGATCTTCACCAGAAGAACGCTGAGAGTTTAAGATTGTTACAGCTGAAATGTCTTTTGATATTTGTGTCACCCGGGAGGGATGTCAGAAATTTCCATATTTAAATTTCAAAAAAAAAAAAAAAAAAAAAAAAAAAAAAAAAATCCGACCTACCTACCTATTCCTTGAGAGCATGTTACCCTAACAAAACAATTTTTTTTTTTAGGCCCAAGGCAGATTTTTTTTTTTTTGAGATTTGTGTACCAATTTATTTTGGTCTTTCCCAATATCTTGTGTTCAAATTTTCATCTCATTCCCACATCCTGTTTTTATGCCCCCACAATGTGGGAGCATATAGCGTTGCACTTGTCCGTCCGTCTGTCAGTCCGTCCGTACGTTCCGAAATCTTGTGAACGCAACTCCTCTTAAACCGGATGGCAGATTTTGCTTAAACTTACATCGATGAACAACCTTAAGGTGTAGATGGTAGTAAAGGAAGGAATTTTCGCTGCAACCAAATTTTATAGAATTATGGCCCGTTGTTGATTTTTTCACTATATACTATGTAGAAATTTTGTGAATGCAACTCCTCTTATACCAGATCGCAGATTTTGCTTAAACTTCCAGGGATGAACAACCTTAATGTGTAGATGGCAGGAAAGGAAGGAATTTTTGCTTCAACCAAATTTAACAGAATTATGCCCTTTTGTTGATTTTTTCATAATATACTTTGTAGAAATTTTGTGAACGCAACTCCTCTTAAACCGTATGGCAGATTTTGCTTAAACTTCCAGGGATTAACAACCTTAATGTGTAGATGGTAGTAAAGGAAGGAATTTTTGCTGCGACCAAATTTAACAGAATTATGGCCCTTTGTTGATTTTTAGTTTTCAACTTGTGGCACATGTAGTCCAAAAAATATTTGACCTAGAGTCATAAGATTGACAGAACAGTGGCGTGTGGGGGCATCCGTGTCCTATGGACACATTTCTAGTTTCAGAAGTGTTGATGCGCTTTTCACTCAAATCCGGCTAATAATCACATAAAAATTTGATTTTCAATTTAATGTTATTAAATGTTAAATGTAATTATTTGCAGATTTTTCCATTTTAAGTGCTTCACTTGATATTTTGTTAGATTTTCAAATTATATGTTTTATGCCTTTGGACCTAAGTGGAGTTTCTTTAAGGAACTTATGTATCTTAAAGTATTGACCCATTATGAGAAACTTAGATATGTTAAGGTATTCAGGAGCTAGATATTTTAATGTATTGACCCATTTTAAGGTACTTAGTTTATTTTAAGGTCAAAACGAGAAACTTAGATAGGCAATTGTCTGTAAATTTTTTCAGGCTGACTGATCGGTCCATCGCTATTATTCTATAAATCCCTTAGCGCTGTGTACTATTTCTTAATTAGAATTCAGGAAAGTACACTAAAAGTACAAATATTAACTCTCTATTACGTCTGTCTCCTCCAGTTTTATCATTTTGCTCTGTTTTTGTTTTATCAGAGGCAATATTGTGATAACTTCTCCATACTAATCCAATTTTATATTTCCTGATTTAGAGAAATACCGAATGGCTAATTTCATTAGAATTATCACAACCTATTTTATCATATAAACAGACCAGAATGATTCTCTTTAAAAAAAGGTGGTAAATATTTTATTTATGGCATTACGGGAAGCTCTTTACAGATTTTGTATCACGATAAATGGAATATTATAGGTTTTATATTTTCATTATTACAGGAAAGCTTACAGCAAATTTCCAATCAACAAAGGGAGGCAATCCTTAGTGTACGGAGGGACATGGAAAGATTTGAGGCAGATCGGCAAAAGTCCATAGATCAATTTAAACAGGTTTGTTTGAACAAATGAAATTTTAATTTGGAGAAAAGCAGAAATATGAGATTGCCAAAAAGAAACAAGACAAAGATTTTTTGTTGATTTGTTTTCTTTGGAAAATAGCCTTGTGATGAGGGGGTCAGAGATTCAAACTTGGGACTATAATTCTTTATCTAAAGAGGACATGGACATTACTTTATCCATGATCTGCTGAATTTGTATAATGAACTTTCCCAGCTTTGAATTTGCAAAAACAGTCCAATCAAGATTTAGGGATTTTGATATCAAAATACAAAGCTAAATAAATAAATAAATAAAAACGCCTTGCCACATACTGCATCTGATGTAAGGCCCCCACGATTACACGTTTAAACGGATTCGTTTCGATTTTCATTCATAAACGTTTACGATATTGTTTACCGTTTAATCCAAATGACCATATTGTCTTACAAAATTTCTTAATCATTGCCTGTAATCATGGATTTTATCAATTCTAGTGGTTTATTCCAAAGTAAACAAACGGAAAATGGGTGTTTACAACCCTCCACACAGCATTACCGTGCAAAATTGCTCGTGACATAATACATTTTTGGTAAAAAATGGGGTTACAATGCAAAAAATGTGTGCTGACTCAATCGTGATGAGCCTTGCACATTCTTTATTTGTACATGTATTAAAATAGAAAGAAAGACATCATTTGGCGACTCAAATACATGGTGTGTATAGTACATAGTGGTACCACCGTTTAAACGGTATCGTTTCGGTTCTTAGCAGTCGTGTAAACGTTTACAAAAAATTGTAAACGTGGGAGCCTTAATCTGATGAAAGGCTTGTCACTTAAGGTTCCTGCAGGCTACTTAGCAATGAATATCTCAATGATATGAAAAAGGCCTCATTTTTTATCTATTTTCGCTCTTTTCTAGAATGATCGTATTGTGACTTCATGTGAATTCAATATAACGCAAAATATTATACCTGTCAATATTAATATTATTAAAGTACATATCATGTTAAGGACAGGTAAAGGTTTACAGAATGATAAAAGTCAATGATCCCCGAGATAAATGTATGTGTGACTAGTCTCCATTAACAAGAATATTGCATGTGAGGACCTGGTTAGTTAACAACAGAACTAAAAGGTCAGAGGGTCAGAAAGTTAAAATGTGTTTCCTGCCTCAGGAAGGTTTAAACATTTATTTATTAGATTGACAAGAATGACAGTAAAAGTAAAGAGATATTATCCATGTGAACCTAAAGAGATGTAAAGATAAATTGGGTGGTTCATGTTCCTGGTTGATACAGTTTATACCCATGCCATTAGTGTAAAGCATAATCCCTCTTATATCTTGCTAGACCAAGATAGGCTGGCACCGGGATTATGGGATTATGGTCTGCACTGTTCGTTATTCGGTCAGTACATATTTTGAAATTTTCCCCCAAAAATGAGGAATGGTTTTTGTCCAGACTGAAAGATGAACAAGTCCATTTAAGATACTTAGCATGGTAAGGGTGAAGTTCAGAAATATTCATATTAAACCATCTACCAAGAGCTTGTTTCTGAGAGTGTTTCGTATAGAACCTGATATTAGGTTATAATTTTGTGGTGTCATTTTTCTTTCCCCCCTCCTCCTTTTGCATTGAATCCTTATAGAGTGGCGTGCATTTTTAGCTTATAGCAAACCTAGTACAGTCTTGCTTTATGTTTAGATATCAGTTTTTCAGTCAAACCTAAACCATAATTATAATTATGTTATAGTCCATAAACAAAATTGTCAGTTTAATTCAAAATTTATTAGCAAGGTCGTTTATGACAAGTGTTAAACTGCGAAACATGACGTGTTTTAAACTGTTTTTCAAAAATTTAATTTTCTTTATACACCTTGAACAACAGTTGGGTATTTCATAGGCTAAGAAATTGTTTATGCGGAAATAAAGAGAATTTTTATGAAAAAAATCTTAAAATAAATTCATTGATATTTCACATATGAAATTACTGAAATAGCTATCCATGAATAGATTCTTGTGGCATTTAATTTGGCGAAAATGTTTTCATTGTTTTCCAAAGAAAAGGTTTGACTGAAATAACAAATTGAATTGCCATGCAAAATAACTTCTTTGAGTCTCGAATAAAGAAAGTCTAATAATAGTTGTATATTTAGTAACTACTATTTGTAGAAGCAATTACTTTGTAATGAAGGCATTCCACAGTTGGCAAAATATCTCAATTTTAATAGAAATATCTCAGTTTTGGTAGTTTTGGTAAAAATAACTCAATTTTAATGAAAATATCTCAGTTTTTGGTAAAAAATATCTCAATTTTGATAAAAAAAATATTTCAATTTTACTGAAAATATCTCAGTTTTGGGTATTTGGTAAAAATATTTCAATTCTGGTAAAATATCCCAATTTTGGTAAAAAAAAATCCCATTTTTTGTTGGAAATTCTCATTTTTAGTAAAAATATTCTAAATTTGGCTGAAAATTCTCAAATTTGATGAGACTTAAAATAAAGAAGAGCTTTTACATGGCTGGTTTTGTGAAGTTGGTAGAAGTTTTCATGTTGTTTTATTTTTTTTTCATACATATATCAACATTTTTTGCATGCTTTTATTTCTTTCATTGTGTTATGAAACCTGGTCGCATTTTCAGGAAAAAGTTAAGTTGGAAGAGGTCATGGAGAGTATTACAGAAATTTCAAAAACTTTAACAAAAACGAACGGTGTAGACAAACTACTGGAAGATAATAGTTCTATAGATTTGGATTTGCATATAGAGGTATAGTTCATATAAAGATTCTTCATAAGTAATGTAAAACATATATCTTGAATATAAATGTTTATATAAGTATATAACTACTTTGTGTATATACAGGTATATTAAATTTTTTGAAACAAATGCTTGTTGTGAAATTGTATAGATATGGCACAAAATCAGTATATATGTTTATGATTTTCATGGAATTTTTCATGCCTCAGGGTTTTTAAGTGAAACCTGGGGTTACATTTATTTAAAAAAAAAAATTGAAATTATTATGAATGGTACTGATTTAAGGAAATGTTTGTTACACTGAGAATCTTTTAATGGTGTGATGGAACCTAGGTTTGTCACAATATAGTGTTAAGACAATATATAATCATATTATGATGTAAAAAAAAAGAAAAAAAGAGAATGGTGTATCCAGAGCTTGGTATTGCAGTCCAACATTGCAGCATTACAAACGTAAAAAACAATACGTTACAAAATTGTCACAAATGAACGACTTACATGCTTCATTAATACTGTTAGAAACCAACATTAAAACTGACAATGTCTCTTGTTGTAGATGATGGTAAAAAAAACGCGCTAGCTAGCATGATATAGCAGAATTAATGTTTGTTTTAAATTGTTGATCATGTGTATGATTTAATGTCCATACTATCACCTGATCATGTCGCATCAAGGACGTGTAACATTATATGAATATTTTGCTACATTTAATGATGTAAGCGGAAATTTTGCTAATCAGAACACAATTCGCACACAAGTCACGTCTGCTGGAGTGTGAAAGCATTTCATATAAGCTTTATAGCAGATATCACAGTTCTATAGCTTTAGATTTATGTATATATTACTGCTGAATGTAAAGTTTTAGTTTTCATTTAACACTCCTACTTATTTGTATAATGCCAGCTTTCTTGTTTGAGCACCTTGGAAAGGTGAATGCCTAGGAAAGGAGAAAACCTTGTGAAAGTGACTGCTAAAATGATTGAAGGATAAATATATCAAATGAATAAAAGTTTCATTAAAAGGTTACATAGCCGCTATTTTTGATAAAAATGATTCCTTCCATTGACTTTATCTGCATCCTACATGGAATCAAAATTAGAACATGGGTTTTATTTTATCTCTGTATAATTTTCTCTGTGTTGAGAAAGAATTTTTTTACTAAAGAAAAATGACATAATTATTGTATTTTTAATAAGAAAATATTATATATTACATTACAGTCATGTACTTTAATATTAATGTTACAATTTTCAAATTCCTAATTTTGATAATTTGTGACAGGTTATGTTGTTCCTAATTACACAGGGTTGGTGTTTCTCCAAGTATGATGGGTGAAAAAAATGGCAGAAATATCACATGGTCTCAGTCCATAAATTTCTTAATATGAGCCGCGTCACGACAAAACCAACGTTATGCATTTGCAACCAGCATGGATCCAGACCAGCCTGCGCAGTCTGATCAGGATCCATGCTGTTTGCTATCAGTTTCTCTACTTGAAATAGAGATGGTAAGCGAACAGCATGGATCCTGATCAGACTGCGCGGATGCGCAGGCTGGTCTGGATCCATGCTGCTGGCAAACCCACACTTGGTTTTGTCGTGACGCGGCTCATATTATTGTTGACATTATTGATGAGTGTACAACAATTTATGTCTATTCTTTTTGACTAGGAACCAATTTTGTACCAAGGTCATTAAAGGTTATTTTCCCAATTGTAAGAAAAGGTTTTTCTTAAAGATGTTTTTTTCTAACATCAGGACTGGGATGGTTAGAAAAAAACTGTTCAAATTATCAAATTAAGTCAAACAGGTGTGTTAAAGACCACCTCTGAATTAAGATAACCCTGTAAATGAAGGCGCCTTTTTAGCTCACCTGTCACAAAGTGACAGGGTGAGCTTTTGTGATCGCTTTTCGTCCGGCGTCCGTCCGTCGTCCGTCCGTCCGTCCGTCCGGCGTCCGTCGTCCGTCCGTAAACTTTTACTTTAAATGACATCTCCTCATAAACCACTGAGCCAATTTCATCCAAACTTCACAGGAATGTTCCTTTGGTGGTCACCTTTAAAAATTGTTCAAAGAATTTAATTCCATGCAGAACTCTGGTTGCCATGGCAACCGAAAGAAAAATCTTTAAATATCTTCTTTTAAACAACCCTAAGAGCTAGAGCTTAGATATTTGGCATGAAACATCTTCTAGTGAGTGTCTACCAATTTTGTTCAAATAAAAGCCCTGGGGTCAAAATTGGCCCCGCCCGGGGGGGTCATTGATTTTCCCTATATGCATATAGTAAAAACTTAAAAAAATCTTCTTTTAAAGAACCCAAAGAGCTAGAGCTAAGATATTTGGCATGAAACATCTTCTAGTGAGTGTCTACCAAGTTTGTTCAAATACAAGTCCTGGGGTCAAAATTGGCCCCGCCCCGGGGGGTCATTGATTTTCCCTATATGCATATAGTAAAAACTTAAAAAATCTTCTTTTAAAGAACCGTAAGAGCTAGAGCTTAGATATTTGGCATGAAACATCTTCTAGTGAATGTCTATCAAGTTTGTTCAAATAAAAGCCCTGGGGTCAAAATTGGCCCCGCCCCAGGGGGTCATTGATTTTCCCAATATGCATATAGTAAAAACTTAAAAAATCTTCTTTTAAAGAACCCAAAGAGCTAGAACTAACATATTAAGCATGAAACATCTTCTAGTGAGTGTCTACCAAGTTTGTTCAAATAAAAGCCCTGGGGTCAAAATTGGCCCCGCCCCGGGGGGGTCATTGATTTTCCCTATATGCATATAGTAAAAACTTAAAAAATCTTCTTTTAAAGAACCATAAGAGCTAGAGCTTAGATATTTAGCATGAAATGTCTTCTAGTGAATGTCTACCAAGTTTGCTCAAATAAAAGCCCTGGGGTCAAAATTGAGCCCGCCCCAGGGGGTCATAGATTTTCCCTATATGCATATAGTAAAAACTTAAAAAATCTTCTTTTAAAGAACTCAAAGAGCTAGAGCTAAGATATTTAGCATGAAACATCTTCTAATGGGTGTCTACCAAGTATGTTCAAATAAAAGCCCTGGGGTCAAAACTGGCCCCGCCCGGGGGCGTCATTGATTTTCCTTATATGTGTATATCAAAAACTTAAAAATTTTCTCTGAAAAAACCCAAATAGCTAGAGTTTAGATATTAAGCATGAAACATCTTTAAGTAAATATCTACAAAGTTTGTTCAAATAAAAGCCCGGGGGTCAAAACTGGCCCTGCCCCAGGGGTGTCATTGTTTTTAACTATATGTGTATAGTAAAAACTTTAAAAATCTTCTTTTAAAAAACCCAATGAGCTAGAACTTAGATGTTTAGCATGAAACACCTTCTTATGGGTGTCTAACAAGTCTGTTCAAATAAACAAATAAAAGCCCTTGGATAAAAATTGGCCCGGGGGGGGGGGGGGGGCTATATACAGGTGAGCGACCTCAGGGCCATCATGGCCCTCTTGTTTGATAACCCTTCATTTATAAAATGGAATAAAATAACCCTGCCAATGAAGGCGCCTTTTTTGATGTAACCCTTCATTTATAAAATGGCATAAAAATAACCTCTAGATAAAGACCACTTGTCTATAAAGACCAATATTCCCACTTGGGTGACCTCTGTTCACAGGTTTAACTGTATTCTGAACATATTTGAGATGATAGTTAGGAGGTTATTTGATCCATTTTGTTCACAAGGCAGCTTCCTGTAGGTGAATAAGGGGTTTGTGCGGTGATGAAACATGGTCATGACCCAAGAAGGCCTTGAACCAATGACTAGCTGGCAGGCAACTTAACCACTTGGCCACCAATTCTTTCAAAAATTGAATGTATAAGTAAGATAGTGAACATTTTCAGTCTTTAATCCATAAGCTGTGACATTATTTTACATTTCTTCTTACTTTTACGCACATTTTTATGCATGTAGAATACTGATTAGTTTTGCAATCATTGCTTATAATTATGGTGCTTTTAGTCACATTGTTTTTCTTGTGTCAAAAATCACAGAATACAACAAATTACAATGAATACTGCACTGTCTATCTAGCCAATAAAATTCGATCAGGGTATGTAGAAGCTTACCTTTAAAATTAAGTGCACTTTTATTGTTACAAATTATTTATTTAAAAAATTTCTGTGCATGACCATTTTTCATTGGTTGTGGGATATTGTAACTCATCTTTTTCTCATATTTTCTTGCATGTTTTTATTTTATTTTTTCATTTCTTTTGATGTAAAATGTTGTTGTTGTTGTTGCTAGTTTTGTTTCCTGTCCTTATGTGGCTTTTTCATTATTTTCTCATTCCGTGTATCATTTAAAAAAGAAATTAATATAAAGGATTATATAAAACATCTGTTGTGTATATTCAAATGGACATTTAAAAATCTTTTAGTTCATATATTTAATCAAAAGACTAGCTCACTGGTTTGTATATTAGAACTGTTTGTATGAAGTTTCGAAAGGAGCTAATAAGCCTGCACTACCTTGGTTGAGAGGTTCACTTGTTATTGTAGTGTTCTTGTTTCTTAAATTAATGTAGACGGTCATTTAGTGATGAACTTTTTGCACTGTTTATAGTTAAGTTGCAGAATTATTAAGTTATTTGCAATAATGAAATTAAATCATTCTGTATTTTTGTTTTCAAGATGCTCACTCCATTAGTTCTATGATTTTGTTTCAAGGGAGATAAGAAATTCTTTTTGATATGCCTATAAGTTTGCATGAAGAACATCTTTGATTAGAATGTTAAAAAGGCAACATCTGCTTTATATGCTAAATAATTATATCTTCTGTATTTCATTTGATCAAGGATTGTTTTTTGTTGCACTTTAGATCAAATCTATTTCCAGGGAGTCAGCAGTACATTTGATATTTTGAAACCAGAAGTTGATTGGTTAAAATATTTACGACAGTTTTAATAAGATTATTTTTTTTAAATATTTGAAATTATTTGATCTTTTTGCAGGAGAGAGATAGTGAGCTATCAAGGAAGATAGAGGAGTATTTGCAGTCTCCAACAACTAGGAACACAAACGCATTTCGAGCCTTGGAAAATGCCATACAATCGGCTAGTAATTTGTCGTACGGTCTTCCACCATTATCACCGACTTCCCCGCAACCATTGACAGGTTCAGGTGAGCGAAAGAAATCAGCAACCCTCCTGGAAATTGAGAAAAATCACTCGTTCTTCCTGGAAACACAGGGCAAGTAGCGTACACTGAAGCTAGTTATATGACATGCTAAAAATAGCAATAAGATGTCATGTGATCAGGGTTGAAATATAGGTGTAACACCTGGTTGCAGTTTAAGATATAAATATTACAAACTTAATTTCGAAAAAAAATGTTTTATTTTTTTTTAGATATAACAAAATAGTTGAAGTCTGGCAGCCTTGATAGAGGAAAGCCCGGAAAGTCCGGATCGTAGCTGTCTGCCATTTTTTTAGTTAAAACTTTTTTCATGTTCTTCTTAGTGACATTTATTATAATGTGATGTATTAATATAAAGTAAGCAAATTAAGATATCAGTGAAATATCACACTTATGCAACAAAGAATTGTAATTTTAATGATAAAATTTTGTAATTTTAATTATAAAATTAAAAACAAAAAAAAAGTTTGGTCATCTCATTTAGCCCTGAAATTTTTTTTTCTTTTACGCTTTTTATAATGATCAACCATTCAAATTGCTGATCACATGACCTAAAAGGATCACATGACCTAAAAGGTCACATGACCTGTAAAGATCACATGACATCATATTTAGAACAGTTTGGAATGAAAAAAAAATGCTAGTCAGAAATTCTTCATGCACTCGAATCTTCTTTTGTATTAAAAATCTGAATTTCTAATAACTTTTTATTGACATAATGAAAATGATTATTTTAACTGAATGCTCTCAATAAAGTAGCTCTGCTTTTGTTGTTTATTTTTCAAAGTTTGTCATAACAACAGTACCTGTAATAATGGATGCATTATGCTTAGAAATTGATCAGTGATGACACTGGGAATATTGTAATTTTCTGACAATAAGATTATTAGACTGCATGTTTGTAACATTGATTTTCATTGTATAATCTTAATGTTTATATAATCTATAAACATGGCTGCTGTTAATTTATAAACTAAATTTCATTTATCCTCAAAACAGTCTTGTCCACTACTTAATGTGTTTGGAACTGTCCATTGCTTATTTAAGAGACTTCAGTATCAAAGTGCACAAGTTTCAGCCAAATTAAACAAAAGTTTTAGCCAAAATAAAACATATTTCTGCCAAAGTTAACCTTTTTCTAGCATGGTAAACCATGTTTCTGCCAAAATGATGTTGAAGACAAAATAAACAATGTTTTGTTCAAAATAGACGATGTTTTGTTCAAAAGAAACCTTGTTTCTGCTAAAATGAACCTTGTTAATTTTAGCCAAAATAGACCATGTTCCAGCCAAAAAAAGACCATGTTTCAGCCAAAATTAACCATGTTTCAGCCAAAATAAACCAAGTTTTTAGCCATTAATGTTACATGTTTCAGCCAAAATAGACCATGTTTCAGCCAAAATGAACGATGTTTCAGCCAAAATCCATGTTTGCGCCATAATGAACCATGTTTAAGCCAAAATAAACCATGTTTTAGCCAAAATAAACCATGTCAGTATCACTGATCAGTTGAAGAGCATTTTTATTTATACAACAGTTGCTCTATAAGGTAAAGAAAACTCTCATGTCATGACACAAAACTTCAGTGTACAATGCTGGATTATAACCTTAATGTACTAACAAACTTGATTTTTGTCCCCAAACTAATTGTTTTGTTTATTTTTGTAACTAAAGTATGTCACTTTAATATTATATAGTAAGTATAGTCCTATTCTGCATAACCTTTCCTTTCCTGTGCATAATATGATTTTTACTGATTTTCTTGTTGAAAATTAACATTTTGATCTTTTGAATTTAGAATTTACTAATATTTAATGTAGAGATGTTATTTCAAGAATGGTTAAAGTAGTATTAAATCTGGCTAAGTTGTTGGGACATATTGGCTGCCCTATTATTTTGATGATCATGGCCTTCCATTATTTCAAATTCAAGAAGAATAAGTTATTTTGAAAAAGCATTATGTTGACTTATTAGTGGGATGGGACTTAAAAAGTTTTGATGCAATATGCAGTGTTCACAGTTAAATGGAGTTACAGATCAAATCTGGGAATTTTATGTGTAGCTCTTTATATTGAGCTCTTTAAATATGGAAAGGTTTTGCAGGATAGGACCATACCAAAGCATGTAACTGTACTAATAACCAATTTGAATGTCTTACGAAATCAGGCATAGGAAAGTGTATGGTAATTGAGACCATAGCTTAAAAGCAGTGTTGAGACAACATATTGCTTGAATTATTTTTGCATCTTTTGAATGTATTTTAATGTAAAGTTAAGTATTACCTGTATATTTTGCTGTTTATTAGGATTTTACAAAGTTTTATGCGTTTTATTGTTTTATATATAATTCTTTTTGCATGTATATATTAATTATATAACGGTATTTGGTTGTTAATTTAAATATAAATGGCTTAGTGTAATAATTGGTCATATTAAACACCAGCCATTAATTCAGTTGGTAGAGCATTGGACTTTGAATCGACGACCCGTGTTCAATTCCAAGACAGTGAAGGTCACTTCCATTGTGATTTTATGAAATCCTTTCTTCCGTCATTCCAAATGTACCTCTGCTCTAGCATGTACAGAAGATATTAGTTTCTTGGGAAAGTAAAGGCACTAGTACTGGTAAACTGCTTGACAGCATTCCCAGGAACGATGCGGTGGCTTAACTGCTCTTGTGGGTTCACAGTGGCTTTAACTGTCATGCTGGAAGGTAAACTGCAAAAACAACCACCACTAATTGGTCATTATTTACACATGAGTAGCAGTTGTGAGGAGCATGCCAACATTGTTTAATTATTATTTATTTTAAAGTGACTAATGTGAGTTAAGAATGTTTTGCATGGTCATTTCAAAACAATCAGGCAAAGTTAGAATATTAACTAGCACCCTTATATATTGATTTTGCATGGTGTTTATTTTATTGTTTAAGAATAACAAGTATGTGGCGTATTTAGTTTCTTTATATTATATTTATATTGTTTTGTGCCAAGAATCCCTCTCTACCCCCTTCTCTGTCTTTGTGAGTATTCTCTTGTTATTCAGTAGATATATGAATTAAAAAAAATGAGGTAGCTGATAAATAAATAGCAAATATTTTATGCATTATGCAACAAAGTTTGGATTGAGGTAGTATGTTTGCACATACATTTAAGAATGAGTAGAAAGTCTTGTTATGTTTTTATGCACCTAAATCTTTTGCACAATTTTTTTTTTTTTTAATTTTCACGATCAGATTACTAAATATATTGATAAATTAGGGTAGGTATATCTTTTTTTTGGGGGGAAAATTTGATTATGGTTATCTGAAGTTGTCAAGTAGGTATTATCTTCCTTTAAAAGTAGAGAAAGAAGTTGATATCTTTGATCTGCCTGTCAATGTTTGTTAAGTTGTATCTCCCTTAAATGTTTAATACACACTTACTTTTAAAGATCAGATGAGTATTTTGTCATTTTTAAAAAGTTTAATAAGTCATACATCCCTTTAAAAGTTAATTCATGCTATCTCCCTTTCAGAGTGAAAAAGTATTATCTCCACATACACAAGTCTGTGGAACACTTCAAAATCTAAACCCTACATTTGACCTTGCTGCTCCACTATCAATTATTCTAATTCACACATGCAAGAAAGTTGTTGGTTCTACCAAGCTACCATCTAATTTATTTTCAAAGGCATTGATCAACTCTTGCGGGGAGTCTAACTGGTTCACCCTCTAACCCTGGTAGGTCACAACAAAGATATTATAAACCTTTCGATGGGCATCTGGGTCTATCACCACACTTGAATTGTTTAATTGGTTGGATTTTATGTCTCACTTAAAATAAAGGTCATTATAATTCGCCTTTAACAAAAGTTTGTTTGAAAGGAGAAGCCCCAGATATGAACACCAACAGTTTTTAAGCCTAGCTACATGTTCTGCCCACATGAAGACCCCAAAGTAGCCGCAGGATGAACCAACAGTTGCAAGCGCCCAAATTTTGAATCCAGCAATGTTAACCAAAGTCAACCATTTAAAGCTCAAGAAGCTGCAGAAGCCCCTTTATTATGATCTTAACAGCATTAGTGTGACAAACATTCAACATTCATAACAAAACTACAACAACATTAATGAAACCAACATCAAATGAACACCATGTTAAGTTACTATGTTAATGACATGCCAGACTAAACTTGTTAACACCTAGTTTGTTTCCATAACAATATATTTTATATTGCACCTGTATATATGAGCAAATCCATTATTAATAATAATTTCCATTTGCAATTAAATGCGTGTTTATAAAATGAAATATTTCTGCACTGACATTAGAGACTTTTCACCTGTATTGATTTGCATCATTTAAAGAGCTTCTTTGTATTTGTTCAGTTACACTAACTTTGCCTGTGAGGCTAGGCGGCCATGTTTTTACAACTCCCAGGTTATGAAATATGTATTTACACTGTCACACATCTTATTTACATTTTGATGTATTCGTTTGCATGCTATAATATTTTATGGTGATTGAATTAATTCATATTGACCTATAACTGAAGTGAATATTGAATTTTCCCATTTTTACCTTGACTATTTCAAGAACAGGGAGAGCTGGTTTGAAGCTTGAATCGAAGCTCCATAACTTGTTAGAATGATGGCCCTTTTTGAAGTTGAAAAATTCTACATTACATAGCAGGCTTTTTGTTGAAAAAAATTATTATTCAAGCACAAGAATAGTCAATCAAGCAATAGTCGTTCTACCTGTAACAGCCTCTTTAATGGTGTTAAAAAAAATCATTATTTTAAACTAGTTTCTGTATATGGTAATTGTCGTCAGATATTTTGTTGTTTTCCATTTAAGTATAATTCAGCTATTAGGAAAATACAAGACCTTTTTAAAGAGGGGTTGGGGTTGGGGATGGATAGAATAATACTGGTAATAACTGATGTTATTTTAGGCCTTTGTGGATTCAAAGACATTTAGCAAGACCAGTAACTCAAGATTGGGTCTCTTTATTGTAAAAAGGTTGATGCAAATAAGTAGAAATTCTTTACAGTTGATAAGAAAATCTTATTACCAGCATCGTATGATATAAAGCTCTCTTATTATAGGTTTATTATCTTTGTCAAGACACTAAACAAGTGCTCTGTCATAAAAACTTCCTGTTGATAGTAAAAAAAAATAACTTGCGAGAAAAGCAACGGAAATCGGTCTATTAAGGATTGTTTTTTAACATCTTATCATAGTTCAATAAGCTACTCGAAAACATGTCAACAACTCATGTACGTCTCTAACTTGTCACCGAAAACGTCTCCGTATTTCAGATTTATCTTTGTTTTTAGCTCCCTCTTGGGAATTATAACTGCCCATTATTATTCATTGTAAATCTGGGATAAAGCTTGTCACATAGTCACTGTAAAGGATGTACGGATTAAGTGATTTAATGATCGGCTTGGAGAGTCTTAGAAATGAGCCGCGATTCCGACGAATCGTAATTTTGACAACAAATCGCAATTTTTTTCTCATATTGAAAAGTTTACTTATTTTATGCCGACAGAGTACTCTGGTTTAAGTAGCTTAGAGAATATTCATAACCTGTTTGATTTTTCGTTAAAAGGGGCGCTTAAAGGATTCCATTTTTTGTTTTAAAATTTGTAGGTATCTTTGCACATTCAGAAATACCGTAACCTAAATTATAGAATTATTCTTTCTAACTTAGTTGCCCATTGATAATTATGTAGTATGCAATTGATATAACGTATACCATTTATATGTAGTGTTACACTTAGTGTGCCATATATATGTAGTGTGCCATTTATATGCAATGTGCCACTAAGTGGGTCATTAAAATGCAGTGTGTCAGTTAAAAAAGACATCATAAGTAGAAAATACATGCTTTAATGCTTGATTTCATTATAAAAAGGAGCTGCCATCCAAAATGGAATCATTTATATTATCTGGGGGGAAAACAAGATATGAAAAATGTATTAATAACAGACAATCAGTTTTATAGATCTTCTAACAATAACATAATTTGCCAATAGCATTATTATATTCTATAGTTATGTTTGATATGATAGTAATATAAATTGTTTTCTAAATTAGACAACAAAAGATGTTTGAAAAACTATAATATATAATTTAAGCATATTTTATACAGATTTTAGTATATTTCTCATTTATAAAAAATAAAATAAAAAAATCCAGGTAATAAATGTCAGAATACTAGAATGTTACGAGATACACAAGTTGATATTAATTTTGAACAATTTACCTTTATCTAAAAGATGTTGGGTATGTGTAAGCTTTTGATACTTACACCAGAAGAAGAAAATAGTATTTTGTTATTACATTAAGTAAAAAGTATGAAGAATGATTGAATAAATCAATATCAATTAAATATGAATAACTTTATGTTAATTATGTTAGCTTTTGATATTGAAGATGAACGTCATTTCTTTAATTTTCTTAATACATTTAGTATGTTGTGTATAATTTGATGTACAGTGTTCACTTTCATCTGGTTAAATTTTACATTTAAGTTACACTAATATTGCCTTTAGATAAATCTTTGATTTGTAAAGGGTTTTATTATTATAGAATTATTTACCTAAAATGTAAGATCTGATTTTTGTTGTAATGATTCTGGTAGAGATATGAATGCTAAAGAAAAATTGATTTTTTAATATTTTATTATTTTTTTTAATTTCAAAAATTAATGAACTGTTTGAAATTGACAAATTAAATAATGATAAGCAACTAAAAAATGTGTTCAATGGTTTTTAAAATATGATTTATACTTAAATTTTAATTGATATTATTTTCATATTAATTGAGATGTTGAATTATTAAGTTATTGAAAAAAAGAGAAGATTTTATTGATTTTGATTTTTGTATTTTTTATATAACAGGTGGCAATGTAATTGAACATGAAAAGCGAAGAATTGAGGAACTGCGTCGTCGTGCCGCAGATGAGGGCCGAGCTCAATGGGAAGAAAAGAAATTGCGAGAGGCAAATTGTAAAAGCTTTAATTCACTAGAGTCAGAGGATTCCAGCATCTCCAGTAGTTGTGAAACACCCTCGGAAAAAGAAATCAGGTGAGATATATAGACCTTTGCTGTAATCAACATCACAGTTTAGTGTTATGGTAGCTGTGTTTATGTGAGATGACGTAGGTGCATTTGTCTTGACAGTGCAAACACCTACCAGAGGTGAGGAGAAAAGCGCCTAGAAATGTAGGTTCATTCCCTGTTCAACACGTGTAAAAGCATTGAAAATTGTTCAAGAATCAGCCACCTTTTTCAGATTCTGACACCTTTTCTGACATACATAATGCAAAAAATAGAATTTCCTAAACAATAAAGAGTTATTTAGCCTATGTTTCATTCTGTTTGGTGACAACTAAGGGACAGTGGTACTAAGTGAATCTCAATTTCTGTAGTTTTGTGATATGATTAACAGTTTGGTTTAAAATTACGTGCATGTTGTTCGTTGTCCAGTGCTGAGTCAATATATTTTTCTCAATTTAGGAACACTTTGCAACCCTTTAACATGTTTGAACTGCAAGTGATTATCCTTTACTACCAGCACAGAGCTAGCCCTGTGCTGCCTCCATTAATCTTTAGTCGCTTATCTTATGTTCATGAAGCTGCAGTTCTGTTCGCTACCTGACCTGACTAAGGTTGTACTGTTTGTAGCTCAGTTTCTCTATTTTGACATTGAAATTCCTTAAACCCTGTACAGACCATTCCAAAATTCAAAGCAGGACAAATCTATTATAGAAATTCCACAAGAACACTTGTTAAGTAACTGTCTGAACCTCTGTATAGATTGATTAGGCAGTCATGAGGATACAATGATAGGCACTCTGTCTTACATGAATTAAGAAGTTCAAAGAGAATCTAAGACAGTGTATTATTAAATTATTCATTGTGTAAGGAGAGACACCTATATTTGTCTTAGATACCAAACAACTAGAAGTTTCATTACTCAATTTGCATTCCTGTTAAGCACACCTTTCCAGTTTAATTAGGTATTGTTTTAGGTAATGTTTGCGGGGGAAGAACAAGAGAGTATAGCGACAGAAGAGTATGTGGTCTGACTTAAGCAAGATAAATTGGTTTAGTTAAAGGGCGGGAGAGTGTAACTTGGAGGGCATTTTCAATGGGACCTAATTTTCCAATTAATAATGGCCAAATTTTTACAGAATTTCAAAAGAATATTCTCAATAACTGCCTAATAACCCCGAACAGTTTTTCAACTTCTTATGCACAATTTGTCCCAGTCAGAGCCAGGGGCCTTTTTGCAAAATAGCTGGAATAGGCATTGTAAGATTTATCATACAGAAGTTGGTAGTTTGGATATGTGAATCTTGCAACAGAGATGAATGATATGACAGAGTTGTGATTTGAGTGTGGAGAGAGGGGGCATGGTTTTGATTAATGGAGGGTGTGGTTTGTTTAAAGCTGGAGTAGTGCTGGAGGAGGCGGAGAATAGTAATGGTTTGTCATTGAGAGAGAGGGGTTGTGGGTGTTACAGAGGAATAGGGTGTGGTTTGGTATGAGGGAGAGTATAAAGATTATAATAAATATTTAGACTGCAAGTGTAGCATTTAACCCTGAGTTGTAAAATAAAATAATTACATAGCATTTGCTAGATATTTGTGAATCAATTAAATTATTTGGACAATTAAGCAAAGTTTAATGACCTTAAGTTTTTCTCATTTCGTTATTTAAACTCTAGAATATTTCTAACCAAAGTAAAGTTATGTATATCAAGCCATTTAACTCTAATGCCCTGATATTCTGTCAGACTATTAAATTCTGTTTGAGAATACTTTATTTGTTTTTTAAGATACGAATTTAATTAAGAAACTCTATTTATATAGTTTTTATGTCAAAGACTTCTTACATTTATCAGATATAGTTTATTTTCGGAAAATTTGCATCCGTTTTTTAACGAGCTTTAAGTAAATATGGCAAAATGAAATGGTTCGACAAACGTTTACACTTAATAAAAGTCATGTTTGAAGGATTTCGTCTGACAAGGAGTGAAGCTGTGAGCTATAGGAAATCATGTGTTTTTATAATGCCTGTTTGTAGTAAAAGTGGTGCTATTGTTGTACTGTTTCATACATTACAATGAGAGAAACACTGATTCAAAGAACTACTAAATAAAAGGATAATTGATTGTTAGGTGGAGAGTAAATCTGGTCATTACATTAAGTTTTAATGAGGTCAGGCTACAATAAAATCATATTGCTGGAATATTATTCAAGTCTTTGATGTTTAAAAGAAAATAGTCAATAACAATGGCTTGATGGGAAAAGGTTTTAACTTGTACAACTTAAAGACGGAGTTACAACAGTTTAACACCAAGCCCTAAATTATTCAGTTCAATTTAAATGATTTGATTACCAATCAATTAGCTTGCAAAAAAAAAGAAGCAAAGTTGCTTAACATTAATTTATTAAATTAGTCATACTTTGATTTGAAGTTCAAAAGTGCACTTTGATACCATGCTTTTGATTGGCTAATCTTAGTTTGAATTGATAAAATCAACCAATCAAATCATAATTATTGTTTTTATTTAGAATGTATAATTTTAAACCTGATTACATTATTTTATAGATAGTATTTCGTATTAATGGAAATTGATATTTTTTCTAGGTTTTTTGTTCCATGCTTCTTTTTTTTTGGCCGGAAAACAAAAGAGAAAATGTTGGGATGATATTATTTGACAATCTTACTGTTACTTAGTCAGTGATTTGGTTCATTAGATTAGTTTGGCATCTAGATATTGATTGTTTAACCAGTCTGTAGCTGTTAACAATTTAGCGATGTTACACAGTCTGTGCCGAGAGCATGTGGACAACGTGAACACTTAATTGCTTATTGTACTAGTCATGCAATACTCGGATAGATTTCAAGTGGTTTTCTATGGAAAATATTTTCTTTAGCAATTTGATTTGTTTATTTATATGCGATATGAAGCTCAGATTGGATTTGCGCTTCTTTACGTGTGTTTGACACTTTTAGTGCAATAAGAATAGGACATATGTTTTACTGCTTGTGGTTTATACTTGTTATTTACTAGTTTTTGTGAGTAGGAAACAAGGATAATTACACTGTCAGTGAATTAATGATACAATATAAATATTAATATACAATGACATTGGATTCTTGATTTAATGATGATATCTGTAACTGAATCACTAAAAGATGATTAAAATGTGGATTGTATTATTACCATTATAAGCAGCTGCTGAAACTTCTTGAAAGCTGGTTAGGTTTTAAATTGGATTTTATTTTCAGATTCGTATTTCTAGTGAAATCAGAAGAATGTCATGTTTTGCATAATTTTCAAATTGGGGTAGTTGAACATTAAATTTGATTAAAATAATTGTAATATGACTCTAATTATATTGTTTTGTTACTTTAAGGTAAATGTAAAACCCAACAAAAACAAAACTAAACAAAAACCTTTAAGTAATGTTAAAATGTTTTTATGATGATTATAATATAACTTTTATGATTATGGTTATTATTTAACTTAGTAAATAACTTTCAAGTTATCATATATGACCTTATGGTAAGCATTGCTCTCTGGCTATAGTGATATTATTTTAAGGTTATAGTTATAAGTTTTGAAAGTGAAAGCTTTATGACTTAAAGGTTCGGTTATATGATGTCAAGTTATGGTTATATGACTTTAAGGTTATGGTTATATATGACTTAAAGGTTATGATTATATGTATGACTTAAAGGTTATGGTTATATATTAATTAAAGGCTATGGTTATATGAATTAAAGGTTATGGTTATACATGACTTAAAGGTTATGGTTATATGATCTAAAGGTTATGGATATCTGTTGCGGAGGTAAGAACAATGTGACTAAAGGATAATGGTCATATGATGTCAGATTATGGTGATATGACTTAGAAGTGTAAAGTTATGTTTATTTAAATTAGAAGATATGGGTAATAGTTTTGAATGTTAAAGCTATATAACTTAAGGTTATGGAAATATGATGTCATGTTATGGTTATAATTACTGAAAGGTCATGTTCATATGATGTAAAGTTATGGTTAGGTTATATTATATAATTTGAAGGTTTTTAGCTATATAACCAAGGTTATGACAATACATGATGTAATGTTGTTTATATGGTTTAATGGTTATTGTAATGAGATTTTAGAGTTATAAAAATATTACTTTAATGTATTGGTTATTAGATTTTAAGGTTATGAAAGTATGACCTGAAAGGTTATGAATATTTCACAAAGGTTATCATTTATGACAAAAGTTTATGATGTGTGATTTTGGGTTATATAATCTTCATTGTAGTTGAATTGTCCTTGTTGATAATTTGTCCTAGCAAGTTTGGACCTTATAGTTTTACCCTGAAGCAATTCCCCTTGCCACCTGTATAAAGCCAGACCAGCCTGCACATATTGAACAGGCTCTCTACTCTATATGCTATTCTGTTGGCTCATGGTCCTAACACTCCATTTAAGAAATTTAACAAGTTGAGAGGGGGGTAAAAATGTTTCATGTGAATAACAAAGGAGTAACATATTTCCAAAATCAAGAAGCACTTTTGGTATGAGATCCAGATGTATGGCTATAAAAGTAAGCCTGTGGATGAATGAAAGTGGGAATGAGAAAAAGATCAGTAAGAAAGAGAGAATTTATGTTTTTAAGAAAGAGATGAAAGGGAATTGAGACTGGCAAGGAAAGAAGAGCAAGTGGAAATGATTTTCTTTGTTTATCAGAGTAAAACAAATGAACTTTGTGATGCATTGGATATGAATGGTTAAGAATTGGTTAGTTAAAAGTAAAACCAAGATTGGTAAAGAAAATTTAAGCACGGAGGGCAATGAATGAGACTGGATTTGAAGAAGAAATTATATAGACAATTGAAAAAGTGAGACTTAGTTGGAAATTGCATGGTGTCATTATTTGTGCTATTAATTTAGGATCGAGACAGTATCTTTGACTGGAGATATAATTAAAGTGAGGGGGGCAATTTGAGATTATATTAGTTCTGCACTTGAGGTATAAGCAAAATAGACAATTTGAAATTATACTTTAGGT